GGGTACTCAACGCTCTGTGCGTGCAGACACTCCGTGGCTGTGTCCCCGGGGCGCAAACCCCGTGGTACGTGCTGCCGCTGTGTGTGCTGTGTCTTTGTATGCCGGGAGCACGTGTGTACATGTGACCGTGAGAACACACCGGTGTGTCTGTCCCCAGGCTCTGCTTGGGCCTCGATGAACGTGTTAGCACACATCCAAGTGTCTGAGGAGTGTGTGTGTGTGTGTGTTGAGTTGCAGCCCATGTCTCCATGTTGGGGACCCCCTGGGACATGCCACCACGCTGTAGGTATTCATGGGAGAGTCTGCATGGGACAGGTCTCCGGTTTTCTCTGAGTGGCCTCTCTGTGTGGATTTCAGCAGGAGTGAATCGGGGCCGTTGAGAGAAGAGGAAGGGAAATGCTCCCTGCCTCCACCCCTGCACACCCACGGCCTACAGAGGACTTAGCCCCAAGCGGTGGAGCAGTGGAACCATAGCTGGAGCTGAGCCTGGCGTGGCACTGTTTGCCCCTAACATCCATGCTTTGAGGCCCAGCCCAGCCCAGACGCACACTTCAGAAACAGAGTCGCTGCAGATGTGAGCAGCCGAGGTGAGGTGGGCCTATAGCCTGGGGGTGGGGGTGGGGGGGGAGGGGTGGGGGTGGGGGGGAGGGGAGAGGGGGGAGGGGAGGGGATCACTAACCCACAGCGACCCTGTTCTTCTAGGACAGAGACACTGGGGTCCAGACACAGGCCTGTGTGGAGGGAGAAGAGGCAGAGAGGCCCAGGGAGAAGCTGTCTGTCTGCAAGGCCAGAAGACCAGCCTGGCGCAGGCTGCCCCTCTGCCCTCACACCTCGGGCTTCCTGTCTGGACAGGCCTCCTCTGCCCTGTGAGCCAACCTGGCATATGACGTTGGGATAATACAGCAGCGTCCGCAGGTGAATCTAGGCAAGGTGAAATGTTAAAGCTCTGCTGACCAGCTCCCGCCTTCACAGGAGGGGGTGTGACTCTGAGCACAGCAGCTGGGCAAGGGGAGGAGCTCCCAGCAACCCCCTCCCTGCCCTTCTCCCAGCCCCTCCCTTCACCTTCACCCCCCCCACGACCCCCCCCAGACTCCTGGCAAGGCGGGCTCCATCATCTTTTCCCTCCCCATTTGTCTCCCTGTGGCTTTGTGTCCTGCATACAGCAGGTGCCTACTGACCACTGGGGTGAGGAATGCCAGGCTTCTGGGTTTGCCCTTCCCCAACATTCTCACAGCTGTCATCTAGTTAACCCATGCTCTTTGCAGGAAAGGGGACGCCCCCAAACCCCCCCTCACGCACCCCCACGCGAGTGCTGGCTTTAGCTTCATTTTCCAAAGGGGATCCGATTCCTCCCGAAGATTCTCCAGTAATAAGAGATCAGGAGGGAGTCCAAGGGCTGCCCTTTTAGTTGCCCCCAATTTAGAGCTGGGGAAACTGAGGTTCAGGAGCTCCTCCCCCTCTTCCTGACCCAGGGGCTCCATCTGATCCTCGCACCTGGAGATCTCCCGAGGTCTCTGTGCTAGGCCGTGTCTGGAGTGACCCGTTTTCCAGGGTTCCCCTTCCCTCTCTGCGTTCCAGGGCTGAGTTTCCAAGTGATTGCTCCGGCAGGCCTCTCAAACTCACACTGGCCTCGCCTGACCCACAGCTCGGGCCTCTCCTGGGGTCTCCAGCTCCTGACAAGCTCCACTGCCCACATCACTCAACCCGGAAACCCTTGACCTCCGTTTCCACCACCGCTCCATCCCATCAACCGCCAACACTGGCCAACATGCCTTCAAAGCAGTTCTCATATCCACAGCCTCAGGATCCTTCTCTACCTCGTCTACCAGCAGGAGCTGGATGTTGGTGCTAGGAGCACAAGACCCAAATCACAGCTGGAAGCGGATCAATCTTCTCATGGAAACCAAGTGTGGAGATGAGAAGGCTGGAGTTTTCCATCTCCAAGGGGGTTGAAAAGACCCAAGTCTCCTGTTTCCTGTCTGGCTGTTCCTTAGGCGATCACTGCTAGTCTTCCTGGACCAAGTTGGCGGTTTAAACTCCAGACATCTCAGCTGCATTCATCCAGCAAGAAAAAAAGGATAAAAGGAAAGGGAAAGAGAGAGAGAGACAGACAGAGAGACAGAGAGTCAGAGACAGAGAGACAGAGAGACAGAGACAGAGATAGAGAGACAGAGAGAGAGACAGAGACAGACAGAGAGACAGACAGATGTATATACACACACACACACAGAGGCATGGATCTTTCCCAGCTGGTCTTGAACTGTGATCCTCCAGATCTCATAGCTGTGAGTCACTGGCATCTGTCTCCCTTAGACTTTTGTTCCAGGTGTTTCCTGGCCCGAGACACCCTTTCCTCTGAGAGGCCCTTGCCACCAGAGGAACCGCACAGCTGTGTAGCAACTGGGGGGTGAGGCGGGCACACCTCTCAGACACCCAAGGCTCTCTGCACAGTGCTCTGGTGGGTCCCCTCAGGTCTCACGCTGGGATTTCTGTCTCTGGGTCTTTCATGCTGTACCTTCCCGATTATAGCACCCCACCCCCACGCACGCCCAGCGTGGAGAGGGTTAAACCGGCCTTGGAGCTGGGCTCTGGAGCCGTGGAACCCTCTTGACAATAAAGCTAATGAGTCCCTCCTTGGCGTTTTTCTCTTGCACAATAACATTTAATCATCATTTGCAGATGAGAAGTTTACGGCAGATGTAATTCTGCCGGGGTGGCGGTTTCTGCGCGTGGGCACGGTTCCTGCTGTCCCCGGCACACCTGACGATGTGGGGCCGGGACAGGCTGGACTGCGGGGGGGGGGGGGGTAATGCAGCCACGTGCCAGGGATCTGAGTTGGTTTGTGCATGCTTGTGTGTGTGTGTGTGTGTCAGGGGAGAGGGCTGGGCTAGGGAGGCACGTGCCTGCTCGTGGGCATGCTTGGCTTTCGCTTTAGACACGTGGCGTGGCGGTGGGTGGCCTGAGGGCGGGTGGGTGAGCACAGGTGGTGTGAGCGCAGAGCCCCACCCAGCGGGGAGGTGGAGGCCCACGGGCCTCCCGCTGTCCTTGTTGGAGGCTGCCTCTCTGCCTCTCTGTGGAGGTGCTGGGAGACACATGTTCGTGCCCACTTATGGACATCTTGCACTTGACTTTGTGACTGTCCTCCTGGGGCTGTGCATGCTGGCTTGCGCATGCATGCATACAGATGTGTGCATGGCCGCACACGTGTCTGCAATCGTGCGCATGGCACGGGTGTCCTAGGCGGGCACGCTCCTGCACCCGTGTGCGGGCACTGGAGTGTAAGGCCTCTCGCTTCAGACCAAAGGCTGACAGGGTTACATTTTCCAAATGCTCAGCGACCAGTGACAGCGCTGGCCTGAGCACGTTTGCCGGCAGGAGGTGAGCGCGCGGCTGCTGATTCGTGACCCGGGGGCGGGCAGCAGTGACGCCTGGCTGACGGGTGCAGGCGCCCGGCCGCCCCCTCTCACAGCGGCTCCAGCTCCCCCAGGCTGCCCAGGAGGCGGGAAGCTGCTTCTCCACCCTGGGCTGCTCCACGCTGGCTTCCCACCCCCCTGCGGTGTGGCCACAGCCACGTGTGGACACGTGCATGCACGGTGGAACCCATCAGAGCACAGAAGTATGCTTGCACTGTGCGGGCTGCCACCTTGCTCCCCAAATCAGCTGTCTGTTTGGAGTGTCTCCCCTTCCTCCTGCCGCCTCAGTCTCCTGTGCATCCCTGCTCCCTGGAATTCCGCAGAGAATCCTAGCCAAGGCTTGGGGGGGGGGGGGGCGGGCCGGTGCATGGTCCCAGACTCTTGCAGGCTTTGTGTTCCTTGAGCTGGGAGCTTGCCATCTACAGGGCTAATGAAGAGTACATGCTCAAAACTACACAGGAGAGGTTAAGAGTTAGGCACAGGGGACAGTATTTTCCAGGAGTTTTATCTGGATTCCTGTCGATTAGGTGGTATTTAACAAAGAGCCTGGAATTCAGCAGGCGCCACTGAAGTGTATAAGTGGCTGTCCCTGCCATCATTGCCATCACTGCTATCCTCATTCATATGCCTGGGCCCAGGACTCTGCTATTTGTCCATGAGTCCCTGCGAAGGCCCTGGATCCATGCGTGCGTGTGCGCGCGCGCGTACCCGCACCAGTACTGGGGCTCATGCTCTCACTTGACTTTTTCGCCCCAGGCTGGTGTTCCTACCACTTGGGAGTTTCTGGCGGTTAAGTGGAGATAAGAGTCTGGCAGGCTTTCTTACCTGGGCTGGCTTTGAACTTCAATCCTCCGACCTCCACCTGCTGAGTGGCCAAGGTTAGAGGCGTGAGCCACGGGCGCCCAGTTCCTCTTTTCATCTAAGATAATGGCAGCGGTCCTTCTGGAGCCAGGGTCCTCGGAGATGCAGGGGGCAGGGAGAGGCGCTCTGGGCTGGGGAGGGGCAGCCCGGACCTCGCGGGCTTTCCAGTAACGACAGAGGCGAGCGTAGTAACAAAGGCTAACATTTATTGAACACCTACCGTGGGCCAGGCGCGGCCCCGGCCGCTGGACACCTACGAACCCTTCTCCTCCTCACCATTCTTCGAGGTAGGTTCTGTTTATTAACCTCATCTGACAGACGAGGACACGGAGGCGCAGCGCCGCGGGGTGAGCGCGCAGGCCGGGCCCTGGCTGCCCGGAGGTCCTGGGCCAGGCCCCCCCCCCCCCCCCCCGGCCTCGGGGCGGGGCTCCCCGCCTCCCGTCCGCCCGCAGCCGGCACACAGTAGGCGCTTAGTAAATGAACAGCCCTTCCTTCCTCTGATCAGGTGTTGCGGGGCGGGAGGGGGTGGAGGGGGGCACTGGGCAGCGTCCTCCCTCCCTCCACCTGCTCGGGGGGGGCCCCCCAGGGCCGCCCGCGTCGCCCCCTCCGGTGATGACGGGAGTCCTCGCTCTGCGCCGCGGCCCCGGGCCAGTCCCCTGCCGTCGGGCCCCGGGGCGCTGGCGGAGGGGGCGGCGGAGGCCCCCGGGGCGGGCGCGGCGGGCGGCGCTAGGAGGCGGCCGCCTCGGCGTCGGCGCGGAGGTGGCCGGCGTAGAGCGCCGCCAGGGCCCCGAACCGCGGGCCCCAGCCGCGGAGATAGGCGAAGTCCTGCTCGGAGGCGGAGGAGCCGCTGCGCGGCGAGCTGTGCAGCGAGCTGAGCGAGGCGGCGGGCGAGCCCGCGCCCTCCAGCGCGTAGGTCTGGAAGGCGTCGTAGGGCGGCACGGCGGGGTCCGCGTCCGCCAGCGCCACCTTGCGGCCGATGAAGTCCCTGAACGCCGCGAAGTCCGGCTCGGGGCGCGGCGGGCCCTGCGGCAGCGCCAGGCGCGCGGAGGGCGGCCCGCCCGGCGCCGGGCCCCGCGGGGGGCTCCCCGCCGCGCCGCCCTGCGGCTCCCCGAAGTCGTACAGGCTCCGCAGCGCCGACATGTCGTAGGCCTCCGTGTCCTGCTCGCCGCCGCCCTCGTCGTTGTACTTGATGACGTTGTCCCGCATGTCCTCGTCCTCCTCGGCGCTCAGGTGGCTCTTGTGGTGGCGCCGGAGGGTGAGGATCAGCAGCACCAGCACTGCGCGGGGACGCGGGGCGCGGGGACGCGGGGCACGGGGGGACACGGGGGGCAGGGGACACGGGGGACAGGGGACACGGGGGACAGGACACAAGGGCGCGGGGACACGGGAGACACGAGGACAGGGAACACGGAGCATGGGGACACAGGATGGGGGACAGAGGACACAGACATACCGGGAGCAGGGACACAGGACAGGGGACATGGGGAACATGGGGACATGAGGGTATGGGACACAGGCACATGGGACACAGGGTCACAGGGGACACGGGGCATGAGACATGGGAACACAGGACACGGGGGACACGGGGCATGGCGTGGGTGAGGGCTCTGCTCACCAGCACCCCAGTGTAGCCCTCCCCTCCCCTCCCAGTGCACAACAGCCTAGAGAAATTCTGCTCAAAACTATCTGTGTGAGCATGTGTACATGTGTATGCGTATGTGCAGTGTACGTGTGTGCATGTATGTGAGAGCGTGTGTGTGTGTGTGTGTGTGTGTGTGTGTGTGTGTGTGTGTGTGTGTGTGTGAAGTAGGGCTTGGATTCAGGGCTTCAAACTCTTGCTTGGCTTTTTTGCTCAAGGCTGGTCCTCTACCACTGGAGCCCCGCTCCACTTCTAGCTTTTTGTTTGCTATTTGGAGATGAGAGTCTCATGGGTTTTGCTGTCCAGCCTGGCTTCAAGCTGTGATCCTCAGATCTCGGCCTCCTGAGTAGCTAGGATTATGAGTGTGAGCCATTCATAATCCTAGTGGCCGGGTTCAAATCATCTTACTGTCAGAACTGAACCTGTCTCTGGAGGTATGCAAATTGAAGTTAGGTCACCACTGGGGTTTGGGGTGGTATAGAGAAAGTGCAAAGGGTTTGTGGGTGTTGGGGGCTGAAGTCAACCTTTGAGGGCCGTGCCTTGAACTCATGGGGAGATGCACTGTGCCAGGACCCGAGGTGCTGGGGTGGGAAGGCTGCAGCTTGAAAGGCAGACGGAGCTGCAGGAGTGAGGGGTGTCCTCAGCTCTGCCCCGTTACCCTTGCCCTTTCTATCTACACCGGAAGTCCCCGGCTCCTGCTCAGGTCTCAGATCGAGACCAATAGGAACAGGCACAGATGCTCACCCCTGTAATCCTAGCAACACAGGAGGCTAAGATCTGAGAACCACAGTTCCAAACCAGTCTGGGCAGGAAAGTCCATGAGACTGTTATCGCCAATAAACTTCCAGAAAGCCAGAAGTGGGGCTGTGGTTTAAAGTGCTAGATCACTAGTCTGGAGCACAAAAGCTCGGGGTCAGTGCCCAGGCTCCAAGTTCAAGCCACAGGACCATCACACATACACACAAAACTCCATAAAACCTACAAAAGCTCCCCTGTAAACCCCAGGCCCTTCCATGTCTCCTCCTACCCCAGAACACACAGTGCCAGGTCTGGCTACCCAGGGCTTGACTTCACCTCCAAGATCCCCTGGGAAGGGTGTCCCCTTCCTGTCACACTACACAGGAAAGTAGTAGTGGCCCTGGGCCGGCTGCAGCCACCCCTGGGAACTCCTTAGAAACACACCTGCTCGGGTGGGCCCTAGACATGCTGGTGAGGTTGGCAGTTTGCTTTTCTAAGGCCTCTGGGTAATGAAGAAGGCAGCTCAAGTGGGGAGTCCTGGATCTGCCTTAGACCACATCCTGCTAAGGTAACATGGCTGTCTCCCTTGCTGCCAAAGTACCTTCTTGGACCTGGAAAACGTGTGCCTAGCTTGGTGCCTGGTGTGTAATAAGCTAGGGAAATATGCTTGAGTAAGTGAATGAACGAAACTTGGATGAATGAGTGAATGACTAAAATCTGGGATGAATCAGTGAATAAATGAAAATGTGGGTGAATAGGCGGCTATGTGAAGTGAATGAATGAATGAATGAATGAATGATATCTCTTTTCTCCATATCTCCTCTTCCCCCTCGCACGACCTTACTGTTGGCTTGTTCTTAGTCTTTCCAGTACTGGAGATTGAACCCAGGCCCTTTGTCATTGCTAGTCAACTGCTCTACCACTTGTGTCACACCCCAGCCTTTCTGTTTTTATTTTGTTTTGGTGACAGAGTTGGCTAGTTTTGTCCAGGCTGGCCTTGAACTCCAGATCCTCCTGACTAGTGGGGATTACAGGTGTCTGCCACCACACTTGGCTGCAAGGGCATCTAAGCAGGCTTTTCACCTCTCAGGCTTAGAGTCAGACATTCTGGGCTTCAGACCTGGTTCTTCATGCATGCTCCCTGTCTTGGGGCCTCTTCTAGTCTGCTGGCTTGAAGTTCCGTCTAGAAGTTGACAAATACATCTCGGCCGGACCATTCCCTGAAGCCTGGACAGATGGGAATTCCATTGCCCATCCCGTGTCATCTGGCTGACCAAGAGAATCTCAAGTTTGATGTACCCAGAGGTGAGATCAGTCTTTCCTCCTTTTCTCACCGTTAGTCTCCCCCCAGGGCAGTGACAGCAACCCCAACTCCTCCGTTACTCAGAGATTTCAAGTCTTTTTGCTCACTGATGAATACATGTGCCTTCAATAGTCCAGCACATAGGATGATATACATAAGCAAATGCTGGCAGGTGGAAAATGGATGGATGGATGGGCAGATGGATGGATGGACAGTTGTCTGCTGGGTACTATGTCAGGGATCAGACTCTTCTTGCTGGTCCGAATAGTTCCAGCCAGAACAGTAGCCAGTGCCAGCTGCTAGGACCATGGAGCCTGGTACTGGCTCACGACCTCACAAAGTAGCTTAAGACAGGGAGAGGGGTGGGGGCTGGGGCCAGGCCTGGAGGGAGGGCACGAGGGGAGGGAGGCATCGGGAGGGGTGTGGGCAAGATGGAGAGGCAGTTTTGGGAGCCGGAGGCCCAGAGCTGTGGAAGGGGATGCCCGCGAGAGCAGATGGCGGGGACCGCGGGCGGCGGGCGGCAGCTGCGCCAGCCCCATCAGCGATTCCGCCCGTCACCTTTAGAGTACTGATGTGCACTTTCTTCGTTTGTGGGCAATTAGGCAGAAATTTGTTTGCACTGCCTCAGAAAATGAAACCGCCATAAAGTGCACCCTCTGGAAAAAAAAAAAAAAAGGTTCCAGAGCCCTGAGCCTAAGAGAAGGGAGGCTGGGCTCCCAGCTCGGTGGAGGGCACAAGCCTCCTTAGAGGCCGCGCCAGTGAGGGCAGGAGGCAGCTGCTGTCTCCCAGGGGACTGAGCTGAGCTGGTGCCCATAATGGAAACATCCCAGGGCCCCCAGCAGCAGGATGGGAATCTCATTAGCACTTGGGTGGCAAGGGCTGGGAAGGGAGCATCCCATTTAGATCATTCGGGACACAGCAGGGCTCCAATAACTGCTGGTGGTATCAGGTAGCCATTCAGATGTTGCCCTGTCTAAATTCCTAGCAGGGGGCAGAGGTAGAGGAAGAGGAGCACAAGGTGACGAGATCGAAGTTCAAGTCAAAAGACAAGCTCTGTCCCCACATAACCATTTCACTTCTCTGAGCTTAAGTCTCCTCTTCTAAAGAATGGGATGGTAGCCGGATGCCAGTGGTTCATGCCTGTAAGTCTAGCTACACAGGAGACTGAAATCTGAAGATTACAGTTCGAAACCAGCCCAGGCAGGAAAATCTGTGAAACTCTTATTATCTTCAGTATAGTGCTAATCTTGAGCACAAAAGCTCAGGGACAGCTGGACACCAGTGGCTCATGCCTGTAATCCTAGCTACTAGTTGAGATCTGAGGATCACAGTTCAAAGCCAGCCCAGGCAGGAAAGTCTGTAAGACTCTTATTTCTAATTAACCACCAGAAAACCAGAAGTGATGCTGTGGCTCAAGTGGTAGAGCACTAGCCTTGAGCTGAAGAGTGTAGGGCAGCACCTAAGCCCAGAGTTCAAGCCCCACAACTAACAACAACAACAAAAAGCTCAAAGATAGTGCCCAGGCCTTGAGTTCAGGCCCTAGGACCCCTCCTACCCAAAAAACAAAACAAGATGATATTCTTGGATCATGTAGTTGTACATTTTCCTGAAGGAGAATAAAATGGGGCTAAAGGCAGAGAGAATTTTTACAATACATGTGTGGCTTTGTGTGTACACTGCTACTAGGGTTTGAACTCAGGGCCAAGGAGCTCTCTCTTATCTTCATTCGCTCAGGACTGGTGTGCTACCACTTAGCCACACAGCTCTACTTCTGGCTTCTTTTTTTCCTGGTTTATTGGAGATGAGTCACATGGACTTTGCTGCCTGAGCTGGCTTCAATCAGCCAGAATCACAGGAGTGAACCACTGATGCCTTATATGCATGGCTTTTAAATCCTAGGGAAGAGTTTGGGCTGTGTAGAGTTGGGCAGCAGGTATGGAATGTCAGGGGGAGGCCAGGGACAGGTGGTTCGTGGCTCTGTATTTGGGAGATTTCCCACAGGAGCTGTGGGTTAGGGCTTGGAGCTGGTTGTGTATGTGTGTGTGTGTGTGTGTGTGTGTGTGTGTGTGTTGGGGAAAACTGAGGCTAGCTGATCCTAGGATGAGGGGCACTCAGGAGCGGTGGGTTGCTTTCAGGGGACTCACCAACCAGGATGAGGACACAGACCAAGAGAGCGATGAGGGCTCCGGGGCTGAGGGAGGCTGCCATGACGAAGGCCGTGGTGTTACAGGACTGGATGGTGCCAGAGCCGTCACAGCCGCAGATGCGGATGGTGAGCGTGCCCGTACTGCTCAGCGTGGGCGGCCCGCTGTCCACCACGAGGATGGGCAGGAAGAAGACGTCCTGCTCCTGCCGGTTGAAGCCCACATGCTGTGTGTGCACCGCGGCCGTGTTGTCTGTTTCAGGAGAAGCAGGTGGCAGTGACTCAGGTCAGCCCCCTTTCATCCCAGCCCCCTCCTGCTCCAACCTGGAGCTTTATCTTTCATGTCCCAACGGATGCCTCTTAACTGACTGAACTGGGGCTGTTCCCTCATGTCCCCTAATTCTGCCCTCGGCTGCCCACTGTGTGTTCCAGTCACATAGCCTCCAGTTTTGTCCTCTGCTACCCTGGGCCTCTGTTCCCAGCTCTTGCAAGGATTTGTTGTCAGCGGTGCCAAGGTACTGTCCCCAACGATTCCAAGATTCTGTCCCCAGCTGGGCCAAGGTTCTGGCCTTGGCTATTTCAAAAAGAATTCTTTTTTTTTTTGGTCATTTGTCTCAACAACCTATTTTTATTCTTGATCCCATTCCAGTTGTCCGATGTATTCTGACCCTAGGAGTCTAGAGGTCCTTGGATCATGGTTTGTTGGGTCCTGACAAGTTCAGGGTCATCAGAGAGCACTGGGAACACTGGCTGGCATCTCTCTGCCTTTGGCGGAGGGACCTTTCTGTCCTTCATGCCAGTCAAGATTTCTGGAGCTGGCTTGGAAAACTCTCATTAAGATGCTGAGCTTGTAGCCTGGGGTCTCCTAACCCATGTTCCTTTTTCACAGGCAGCCAGAGCGGATAGTAAACTGGCACAAATGCTACTCAGTGTCCAACTTTAGCCTGTTCCTGGGGATCCGGGCAGGTCTCAGGGGAAGGGAGCACAGGTACTTCCTCTGACCTTCCTGTCTCCTCCACACCTGTCCTGTATGAGTCAGGCCACTTGATCATAGATGGCTCCTCTCAGTTCTCATTCATGGTGGTAGGAAGAGGTCAGAGGCCAGGTGACCGCTGCTCTGCCCTTTATAACCAACCCCGCAAAAGGAGGGCCTGATTTCCTGCTGGAAATCCTCTCATTATTCTCGCCTAACAGCCCCTTCCTCAGTAGTTCCCAATTCAGTGGTCCATCCTTGGCTTCCCTTCTCCACTTTTACATGCATTCGAACCTTTCAATGTACAAATGTTAAAAAGTAATGCTAAGTGTGTCCTGCACTAGCTAGAGAACCTCTCAGCTCTTTAGACCTTAGTTTAATCTGTAAACCAAGAAAAAGCATCATAAGGGTGTGAGAATTAAATGATAGAACCCAGGCCTAGAATAATTCCAGGCACATGTAAATTCGCCATATGCAGGTTAATGTTTCTTTCTGATTCAGCCCCATTTTCCCTGTGCCACACCCCATTCGTGCCCCTGGGTGTCCTTGCCACTCCTCATAAAATCTCCACTATCGAGACACCCTCTCCACCTTCTTGCCTGGGCAAATTTCTCATCTGTCATGCTCCAGCTAAATGTCACCTCCTTCCTTTGGCCTCCTTTCTCTGCTTCCCTGGGAAGGAAGGATTTATGGCTCCCCGCTCCCTACTCTGACAATGCAGGTGCCATGCACAGTTCTGTTACAGCACTTGTCACCTTGCGTTAAGCTAGTGTGTGCCCGTCTCTCCACTGCTGGCCAACTGGAGGTTCTGGCACTGAGCCAGTGTTGAGGCACACTGCTTGAACGAACCACCACTTTCTGTGCTCATGGATCAGCTCCTCCAGCTCTGGTTCAAACTCTACCCCCCTCCTGCTCCCCCTACGCCAAAGGGTGAATCACCCCCAGCTGGAAAAACATCTGCCTTCCACTGGGGAAGGAAGGGGTCTCAATTACTAAGGAGAGAAAAGAGGAGAGTGGTGTGGTTCTCATGTGCACTGACTGGATGCTTTTTATGTATCAGGACTATGCAGGTGCTTAAAATGAAGAGCAGTGTTTGGTCCTCATAACCACCAGGAGCAGGAGCATCGTCTTTATTTTATATAGGTAGAAGCTGAGGCTCGGAGAGAAGTAACTTGTTTGAATTTGTCTAATGAAATCATCTAACCATACATCCACCCATCCATTTCCATTCATCCATCTTCATCCATCTGTCTATCCAGCCATCATCTATCTATCTGTCCACCTCCATCATTCATCCATACATCCATACACTTCCATCTATCCATTAATCCATCCATCTATTTCCATTCATATACCTCTATAAATCTGTCCATCCATCATCCATCTATCTGTCCACCACTTATCCATCCATCCATCCATCCATCCATTCACCTACCCATATATACATACATACTTACACTTTCTCTATCTATTAAACCATCCAGCCATCTCACTCATTTACCTCCACCCACCCATTTAGCCATCTGTTCACTTCCATTATCCATTCTTCCATCCATCCTTCCACCCTTCCTTCCATCTATCCATTTATCCTCTCATCCATCCATCTTCCCATCTATCCATACATCTGCCCACTCACCTCTGTCCATTCATCCAACATCCACACACTTGCCCACCTCCATCATCCACCTATCCATCCATCTATTATTCATCCATCATGTCCATCCATTCATCAACCCTCACCACCCATCTACTGACCCACTGTTCTTCTTCCCTTCCTCCTTCCCTCCTTTCTTCCCTCTCTCCCTCCATCCCTCCCTCTCTTTCTTCCCTTCTTTGCTTCCTCCCTCATTTTCTTCCTTCTTTTCTCCTCCCTTTCTCCCTCCTCCCTTCTTTTTTTTCCCCCAAAAAATCTTTATTAACTCCTATGTACTAGGCATTATATTAGTCACTGGAGGAAAACAATGGAAATATAAATCAACTGTGGTCCTGGATCAGAGTTTCCAATATGAGAGACAAATGCTAACCCAATATGTTTATTACAATTACGAGCCATGGGAAGTGTGGTGAAGTACAAGTGTACGAAGAGCACCCAACAGGGGGCCTCACCAGCGATGGGTGGAGAACAGGTGTCAGGGAGAGCTTCTTGGAAGAGATGCTAGTATTTCTGAGCCTTGAGCAAAGGAAAAAGAACAGCTTGTGCAAAAGCCCAAAGGCTAGAACATAATACACCAAGGAACTGGACACTGTCCTTTGTGGCTGGGGGGCTGGGTGACAGCTAAGAGGGAGTCTGGTCCAGGCTGGAGGGACAGGCAGGAGTGCATCGTGGAAAGATTAGTAAGGAATTTAAATGATTATCCCTTCCTTCACTCTCTTCTTCTCTCCCTCCTCCCTCCCTTCCTGCCTCTTTCTCTCTTTGCCGTGCTGGAGATTGAAGTCAGGGGCCCTGCACTTGCTAAGCAACTTCTCTATCACTTGAGCCAGGCTAGTGGCCCATTGTGGTTTTGCTGTAGGTTTGGTTTTGCTTTACCTTGTTTTTAGAGAGAGCCTCATACTTTTTCCCGGGTTAGCCTCAACCATAATCCTCCAGTTCTCTTGTACTTGAGATTATAGCCATATGCCACCATGCTGGGCCCTAGGATTATTTTCTTAAAAGCAATGAGAGACCACTAATTGTCGGGTTTGGAGCCAAGAAGTGGCCTAGTGATAGATAATCGATGCATTTCACAGCAGATCCGAACAAAGCATCCTCTACATGTCACAACGATCGCAGCCCCTGGGGACCCGGCAGGCACGAAGGTGGACAGCAGTTCCTGTTCCTGACTGAGCCTGCTGTCTAGTCAGGAAAACCGAAAATACAAGAGTGGGCTTGGAAGACGGAGGCTTCGGTGTGCTATGTGGGAAACAATAGCAGTAGTGACAACACAGAGAAGCAGACAGATCTGAGAAATGAGCGGCTGGCCGGGGCCCAGCCTCAAATTGCCAAGCAAGACAGAGATGTGTGTCTCTCAGGGTTCCTGTCTTTGGCCAGGCAGCCATATGTTCTGAGAGCTCCAGCCTCTGCCACTCCTTGGCCCCAGGAAAGAAATTCCCTGGGCCTCATTCTTGAACCTTTCCAGCTCGCCCCTCCTCCCCGCCCCCAGCACACAGCAGCTGGCATCTGCGGGGGAAGCCCCTGGCCACACCGGGCCACGCCCACCCATCTAGGTGGGCCGCGTGCCCAGCGCTGCACCCATCCATCTGGCCTGACATACATCAGTGTCAATTGCTGGCTGCAAGAGCAATATTTATAAATCACGTTTCCAAACTGGCTACAAATTTGCACAAAGAAACAGATGGGGTGGGGTAGCCTGTTGTCATGTAAGATATTTATATCGGGAGGAGGAGGGGGCCTGCATGATACAGGAAGGGGCTGAGGGACCGGAAGAGGAGCCCTGCTGAGATGCCCTGAGCTCGGCAGGCTGCTGCACCCCATCCCAGGGCCTATGCTCACCTCGGAGGGCAGCTCTGGCCGGGGGAGGGGGGAGCGGGGGGAGGGGGGAGGGCTCATCAAAGAGAAGCAGGCAGGGTTGGGGGGAAGAGGGCAGAATCTCAAGCCCCTGGCTGGCAAGGCTGGTGACTGTGGAGAGGCTGATCTGGGTTATCAGAGCCTCTGGGGCCTAGCTTAGGATGCCACTGAGTGAAGCCTGGGCTGGGATGTGCTGGTTGGTAAGCTACTGGAATAGTCTAGAGAGGTGTACATAGCCGTGGCCCAGCCCCAGATCCTTCCTTCAGCCTCAGCTCTTCGCCTAGGCACCAACGCTCTGACACAATCAAGCCACTAAGGGGTTAATGTTGGGCACAGCAGGGCCACCAGGGCCCCTCCAGGTTGTGGTAAATATCTTTTTCCGGCTGTCTTTGCTGCTGCACCGGCTGTTAAATCTTGTTAACATGGCTTCAGGGAATACAGATGGGTCTGGCTTCAGAGGTCACTGCAGATGCGCTCTGGAGGGCCGGTGTGAGGGTCCTGGGGTGAGCTCAGATCTATTCCAGCGCCAGAAGGAATGACGCAGTCTGGACCCCCAAGGTCTCTGACCACATCTCCTCCTTACCCTGTCCCTCACTTGTTCCAACCACACAAGTCTTCTGTTTTCTCACCTCAGCTTCTACCTCAGGGCCTTTGTGCTTGCTGTTTCTAGACCAGTTATGAGCAAGGCTCACCCTTTTCATTTCCTTTAGATCTCAACTCACCATGGACCCCTCAGAGAGACCTTCCCAGACCACCCTACGATTGGAGCGTCCAATCTTACCTGGCCTTATTTTTCAGTTTCACGCAACACATCTTCTCAGACCCCTGTGATGTGCCAGGCGTGGCTCTAGGAATGCAGGCTCTGGCAGTGAACAGAGCCAAATCTAGGCTCTCGTTTGCTTGTTTGTTTCCCCTACTGAGGATTGCACGGAGAGCCACCATTCACATCCTAGGCAGGTGCTCTCCAGCTAGAGCCATGCCCCAGCCCAGAGCCCAGGCTCCCGAGTCACATTATTCCTCCCTCTACCAACGCCTTGTCTCTGCCAACACACTCAGCTGGACAGGAGCTTGTTTCCCCAGTGCGGAGCTGAAGCCAGAAGCACCAGCACAGGGCAGATGTGAACTCCTCAGGGTGATGGGCATCCCAAGGCACGGAACCGGAGACCCCGGTACCCCCGAGGTAGGGAGCATGTGCAGCTTCCTCAAGGAGAGGTGTTCCCGGGCACTGGCCTGCAGGTCCTCTGGCTGCCCTCTCTGGATCCCTGTGCCCCCCAGAGCTCGCCTGGATGCCCCCTTCTCAGCGAACCCGCTCTCTGCTCGCCCTGTGTGGCCTGGCTCAGCCACGGGTGGACCCGGGCTCTGACCCTGGACCCAGCACTGGCCCTCGGGGCGCCAGTGGGGGGCAGGGAAGGTCGCTCCGCCCTCTCCAGGCCGGCCCCTTGCTGGCTCACAGCTAACTCACCCTGGATGTCCAGCAGAGAGAAATGAGGGTTGCTGGGTGCCTCGGGCACCAGGCGGAAATAGAAGCGGTGTCCACCCTGCGGCTCGTCTCTGTCCACCACGCTGATGGTCTGGATGAGCTGAGGGGAGGAGGGGCGGGGCTGGTGGGGAGGCTACTGCCACACTGGCCTGGGCTTCCAGGGGCCCTGCCAGGCCGGGCACCCATCCCAGCGCCCAAACTGCCCCTCCCAGTGGTACCTGGATCCCAGCACCCTCACACACACACACATGCAGTGGTATCTGGATCCCAGCACACACACACACACACACACATGCAGTGGTACCTGGATCCCAGCACACACACACACACACACACACACACACACACACACACACACACACACACACGTGGTGGTACCTAGCCCCCAGCACCCCCCCCCCAGTGGTACCTGGACCCCAGCACCCTCACACATGCAGTGGTACTGCCCCCAGCACCCTGCAGTGGTACCTGGCCTGGCTTGGCATCCTCGCACACTGCGGCCTCATAGGGCGTGGCCAGCTCCGGGGGGTTGTCGTTCACATCCAGGATCCGGATCCGCAGGGATGCTCGGGACAGCTGAGCGTGGTTGTCTGCCGTGACAGCACAGGAGGGGCTGGGGCGGAAGCTGAGGGACCCTGGAACCCCTCGCTCCCAGGACTGGACTGGGTGGCACTGAGGGTTTGGGAGGTGCCTGAATCGATATAAGGTCCAGGACGGGAGTACCCGGCTTCGGTGGGCGAGCTGTCACCATCTTCCTCAGCGTCGGTGTCAGTGCCACACCCCAGCCCACCCCTTCACACACCTCACCACCCAGCAACGCCACCTGCAGCCCCACCCCCGTTACTACACCGCCTCTGCCAATCAGCCAGCCCCATGACTCCCATTAGCGCCAGCACCCCAGGGAGCTGTCAGAGCCACCCACGCCCTCCTCCCCACCGTCACCACAGAAACGTCACCGTCACCCCCGCCGCTGCCCTGGCCGTGCCCCCCCGCGGGTGCAGAGGCCACGCTGACCCCCTTGCCACCGTCAGCTGGGACGTGAAGAGGAAGCCATGGGTTCTACATCTGCAGCTCTCACACACGCTGGACAAATGAACGAAGCCCAGGACTGAGACTGGAGGAGGCTTGGGCAGCGGCGGGGTCTTGGGAAAGGCCCTGCCCCCTGCGATACCCGGCACTGGGCCGTGGCAGAGCAACGACGCGCTAGGACTGGCCCCGGGTTCTGATCGGGGCCTGCCGCTCGGAGGCTGTTTGAGCTGCACTAGCCCCCTTGCCTTCTCCGTGTCTCAGTTTTCCCATCTGCCAAATGGGCCCGAGCGTGTAGGTTTGGCAAGAAACAGGTCATACTTTTGTCTGTGAGGCTCCAACCGGGCGTATGTAAGCCACAAGTGCTAGGTGAGTATTTGTTAAGTGTGCAGACTTCCTTGCTGTGCAGCCTGGCCTATCTGCATGGTGGGCCTTCCTAGCCCTGCCCCCACCCCCATCCTGGTGTTCTCTGCCCACCGGCCCTTAGCTACCCCAGCCCCATACCCACTACTGACTTCAGTCGCACCCACGAGGAGGAGGGAAGAACCACGTTGCAAACAGTGGTGTGTACCTGGGGTCCCGCGCCGGGCTGGCAGGGAGCTGCTGGGCAGCCAGGCACTCGAAGGGTCGGGGAGGGGAGTGGGCTGATAAAGGGAGGCAGGCGGTGGGAAAGCAGGGTGGGGGGGCCTTCATCGGCTCAGGCTGGATCCCCCCTCCCTCCGGATCTCCCCTCCACCTGGGACCCCCTTATCTTCGCAGCTCACGCAGATCTGCAGCCTCAGCGAGTAGAGGGCTCTCCCGGGGGCGGGGGCTGAGGGATGCGAGTCGTGACTGGGAATGCCCGGTGAGCTGTTATTTTTAAGAGCACACTGCCAAGGAACCTAAACAGACAGATGGGGTGCTTTCAGGAGGCCAGAGGGGGGGGGGCACAGTCACAATCTGGTGCCTGTCTCCAGGCCCAGGCAGGAGGGGGTGGGGTGGGGCCTGGAGGGAGAGACGGTGCTAGTCTATGCAGAAGGGGCTCCTGGAGCACGAGCCACCTGCCCGAGGACCTCGCCTGTCCCAGCCCTGCCTGACACGTCCTAGGGTCACCTCCTGGGAGCACCTGGTCCTTCTGGCCTGGGATCCTTCATTCTAAGAAGCAGAGCCCTTGACCTTGGCGCCATGGTTCTCTGGCCTGGGTTTACCCAAGATCTCCTGGGAGAGCCATTCAAAAGTCCCAAGGTGCCAGGTGCTGGTGGCTCACGCCTGTCATCCTAGCTACTCAGGAGGCTGAGATCTGAGGATCTTGGTTCAAAGCCAGCCTGGGCAGGAAAGTCCGTGAGACTCTTATCCCTAATTAACCATCAGAAAACCAGAAGTGGTGCTGTGGCTCAAGTGGTAGAGCACTAGATTTGAGCGAAAGAGCTCAGGGACAGCATCCAGGCCCTGAGTTTAAGCCCTATGACTGGAAAAAAAAAAAAAAAAGTCCCAATGTCCAAGGCGTGGCCATTGATGTTTTTAAAATATTTCCCAGGGGGATCTGATAGGAACCGAATATGGTGAGCTGTGTCTTGGGGTAACCAGCAAGTGGAGGTGGGGGGCGGGAGGGGAGGGGTTTGGCCCAATGCTTGGCCTCTGGTGAGGCCCCTTCCGGGCACAATATAATAACTGTCAATCACAGCCCTTGCCTTCTGTGTTTTGATGTAAAATAAACCCATCGGCCCATCACCTTGACCTCCAAGCAGGATTTTCCAACTTTACAATGCCCTAGGATCCCACAGGAGCCTGGAAATAACCCGGGGAGGAGGCCTTCTCGACCCCATCTTACAGATAAAGAAACCGAGGCCTCACAAGTGGCAGGGGATCCCCCCCAAGGCAGAGCTGGGGTGCAACATCCAGACACAAGGTCACCAGCCTTCTCTTTAGCTATCCCTTGGCCTCCACCTCTCAGAGCCCCGCTCAGCCTGACCTCGCCAGTGTCCGGTGCCAGGTGCCCGTTTCTGAGGCTGGGTCCCGCCCCCACCGCCCCCTCGGCCTGCCTTCCTCCCCTGGCATCTCAGTTCAGCTGACTGACATGCAAATTACTTTAATTATTTCTTCTTCTAAAATAAATTATATTTTGCAGTAGCTGCAATATGTTGTGTCAGGCAAAATTACATTCAATATTTTTAAACTAATTGATGCAGCCTTGAGAAAGGCTGACTGACAGCCCAGAGCTGAGCAGGCCTGTAGCCTTAAGTGAATCCGAAATTAAAATGAGACGTGCTTTGGCCCAGTGCTTCCTGGGCTGGCCAGCCCCACCATTCACCCAGGGAGGTGGCAGGTGGGATCCCCCCTGGCCCTGCCTCCTCCCCCAGGGCTCCAAGGGTCTGAAGAGGCTGGGTAGCTCAGCGTGTACGTCGGAAAGGGGCCAAAGTTAGGGCAGTGCGGCAGGACTCTTGCCTTCTTTGGGCCTTAAGTAGAGAGGATAAGAAGGGGGACTGCACTGCGCAAGGTGGAAATGGGACTCGGGCTTTGCTGATGCTGTTCAGTGAGCGGCTCCTTTGTAGGAAGGACACAGCAGCAAAGAACAGGACCCTTTGAGAGATAGACAGGCAGTGTCTTCAGACAGAGACAAGAGTGGCGAGGACAGAAGTTTGGGAGTAGGTCTGGAGCAGGGAGTGCCACCCTGCTGGGGGTTCGGGGATGTTTTCCCCAGAGTGGGTGGCATTTCCGCTGAGATTTGACTAGGAAGTAACCAGGTGAAGGGGGTAGGGAGGGAAAGATTGGCCTAAGGAGCCGGATCAGCATGTGCAAAGGCCCTGGGGTGGGAGGGAAGGCTGTAGATCTCTTTTGAGGAAGATCTCAGTCCCAGGCAGTGTAACTCACCTGGCATTTGGAACTGAAACAGGGAGGAGGGATTGTTGGGGGCCAGTGGGAAGAGAAGAAGACAAAGGGCCTGAGCCTGGTGGCCAGAAAGGCTGCAGCAGACACCTATGGGTCACCTGCCATGGCCAGGCTCTGTGCTGCCCCGTTTTGGCCTACTGCCCATCACTGGAGGCTGGGACACCCCTGGGACACTATCATCGCTGGGCTGTGGATGTGGAATCCAGCTCAGAGATGGGAACAAATCACCCATGGAACAGGGGCCAGGGCCGGGACTCCAACACAGTTCCAAGGAGAGGGCCTTTGACCAGCAGCATCTTGCCTTTATCTACCTGCCAGAATCCTTGCTTTTGAGGCCCCGAACACACGTCCTGCCTCCTCGAGGAAGCCTTCCTTGACTAGCCTGAACCCGGGGTACTGGGAGGAAAGGTCAAGTCATACTGCCCACCAGGCCCCATGGATGCCCCTGCCAGAGCCTCCCCACTTCCTCCCTCCCTCCTCCCCTCCCTTCCTGTGGGAGGGTCTGACTTTTTTTGTTGTTGGTGGTGGTGGTTGTGGGGCTTGAACTCTGGGCCTGGGCGCTGTTCCTGCGCTCTTCAGCTCAAGGAGAGTGCTCTACTGCTTGAGCCACAACGGCCACTTCTGGTTTTCTAGTGGTTTATTGGAGATAAGAGTCTCACGGACTTTCCTGCCTGGGCTGGCTTTGAACCGGGATCCCCAAATCTCAGCTTTCTGAGTAGCTAGGGTGCAGGTGTGAGGCACGGGAGCCCAGCTAGGGTCTGCCCTCTTCCCCTTTCGTTTCTGCGTGAATCTGCCCCTTGCCACAGAGGAGGCCGGCCCCTCCTGGCCGTGACCTTCACCCAGCATGCTCTGCGTCCCAGCTTCTCTCTCCTCCCTGAGAACCCGCTGTGCACAGCACACAGTAGGCGCTTCATGAGTAGATTTCACCGTCCCCGCATGGCTAGTAGGGAAGGGACCTTCCTGATTTGGGGGGAGCAGCAGAGGGGGATGCTATAGAGAAAGAGAAGCGCAGGGAGGAGAGAGGTGAGGAAAGAAGGGGGGAGGGGGAGCAGCTGGGAGGTTCCCCCCCTTTGCAGACAACCCCTCTCCAGCCCCTCCCTCTGCCGGAGGGAGGGAGGGAATTAAATAGCATGCGAACCCCAGGCTCTGATGAGAGCGGCCAGCTGGGCAGGAAGACTGAGCAGCCCAACTACCAGCATCTAAGACAGGAGGGGGCTGGCTGGGGGAGCAGATGGGCGGGCGGGGCTCCAGCACGGGACGTGGGGACAGCTCCCTGCACCGCTCCGCTCCGGGGCTTGGTGCCCACTGTCTCGCTCAGGGACTCCTCAGATCTGTTTGGCTCCCTGGCCTGGTGGTGGTGGGGGTTACTCCTCTCTGGATGGTGATGGGAGGATGGAATTGGGGATGGGTGGGGGGGTCCTGATGGGTCCCTAGGGTTCCTGATGTTGGGCTGCTTTGTCCCTGGGGCCAACTCATCTGCTGAGTGCCAAGCTAGCCCAGGGCCCCGGACCGTCCCCTCCTGCTCTTGGAGTCCCCACAGCCCCCTCCTCTGGCACTTCACCCCAAGGCTGGCGGCTGACCTGCCTCTCCTTTCCTCTCCCATAGGAGCCGGCACATTGGTTAAGCCTGGTAACACCAGATCCCAGTGCCCAGCCCAGGCTGCCTGGGGTAGAAAGGCAAAGCCACGGACTAAGGGGGGACATGTGGGCGGAGTCCTTGAGTCCTCGGTCATGTGACTTTGATGGCACCCCTCTCTCCGCTCTGCTTGTTCACCAGCCTCTGAGCCCCCCCCTAGTGCCAGAAGGGCAAAGCCTGATTGACACATGGGTAAATTGCTCCCCACCTGGTACTCAGCCTCCCCAGCCATGAAACTGGGAAGATCTGCTAGCTGTTCCCTCTCAGAGTCCTTCTGCGCACCTGTGTGTGTCAGGCATGGTGCTGGGCACCTACTAGGTGGTTTCTACTCTGAGGATCCGTTGTCCATTGTACACTCAGCACAATATCTGGCCCACTGTAAGCTTTCCATAAATATCAGCTGCTATTATTGCAAGTTATGAGTCATTCAAAAAGGTAGGTATTATCACTCTGTGTGTGCATACGTGCATGCATAAGTACATGCATGCATGCGTGTATGCATGTGTGTGTGTGAGAGAGAGAGAGATGTGCTGGTACTGGGGCTTGAACTCAGGGCTTTTAGCCCTACCATGGCTCTTTTGCTCAAGGCTGGCACTCTATCACTGGAGCCATACCTCCATTTCCTGCTTTTTGCTGGCAAATTGAAAATAAGAATCTCAAAACTTTTTCCGCCCCAGCTGGCTTTGAGCCACCATCCTCAGATCTCAGCTTCCTGAATAGCTAGGATTCCAGGCGTGAGCACCAGTGCCAGGCAGAAGGCTCCTTCCCACTCAGTAAGCACTGCATGGTCATGGTGCACCTGGCCTGTGTGACAGCATGGCAGGTACAGGCTGGGGGCGTGGCAGGAGGGATGGTGGGGGGCGGGGAGAGGGGAGCGAGCCGAGCTCAGATCCAAATTCATTCATCCACTGGGAGTGTGCTGGGTAACTGAAGGAAAATGGAGGCCCTGTGAGACTTAGTGGGGGCGGGGGGCTGAGGGGGGGGACTGCTAACTATTCCCATGTCCTCTGCTGTCCTAGGCAGCTAGCTGCCGGCTGCCAGCCCTGGAGGAGACAGCGGGCCCAGCACCCCCACCGGCACTGACTTCCAAGTCCCTCCCTCCCCAGGGAAGACTGTCCCTTCACAGCCACCCGTCCACCGAAGGTCTCAGACACAAATTGTACTTTAAATTCAATATCGGTCATTAATATTTCATGATTACAAAACGTTAAAGATAATGTCAGTGGAAGGCACGTCTGCATGGGCCGCAGTGATGACTCAGAGGCCTGGGAAGTGGGGGAGGGGCAGCATACTAAGTGGAGGCTCGGAGGGGGGGGATGGAGGCTCAGAGGGGGGGTGGAGGCTGACAGGCGGCCGCTCTGATCCGAGCACAGGCTGCCACCCTCCCTGGCTCTAGGAACTCTCCGTGGCTGAGGTATAACTATTTCCCTCCAATTCTTGCCACCTCACCTTTGCTCTGCCTGGGAGTGGGCGGAGCTGCCTGACCACCTGCGCAGACCCCACTCTGTTGCTGGAAGCTTCCGCAGGAGGACCCAGGGCCAGGTGGGCAGGTCTGATGGCAGTGCCCTTGGGACTTGGGCTGGCTCCTGGAATGGGAGGTATTGGGCAGGGGTGGGGGGAGGAGAGGGGGGAGGGGAGGAGATTCCTAGACCTGCATGGACTTGCTTTGTGGTCCACCCTGAGCCTCAGTTTCCCCATCTGTAAAATGTGAGAGTCATCGGGACCTGTCTCCCAGAGATGGCAAAGGGGTGGGGGTGGTGATGATTTGCCACAACCAAGGGCTGTGACCCGAGGGACAGTGGGGAGAGGCGGCTTTGTTGTCAGGCGGGGGCTGGGGATTTGAACCAGTGAGGTCCAGGTCGCGCCCCTCTTCCGCACATTGAGAACAGTGGTAGAAATGCCTTCTTGGGTGTAAAGAACCCAACCAGTTTACCATTACTCAAGGGCCTGGTCCAGAAATGCTGCTTAGGCCACGTCTACGATCAAAGCCATCAGGTACCAGGCATCCATTGAGCAATGACGAAGGCCCTACGACTCGGCCAAGTTTTTTCCACGAACACTCCCCTGCACAGTGGGGCAGGGTCATTTACTTTCCCAGCGGTTAGTAACCTGGGCATGGAGGCGGGCAGGGGCTGGGGATTGAAGCCCGGAGAGGGGTCTCCTCCCTTCAGAGGCTCACTGCCTTTCCTGGGTCAGTTGTGGAAGGGAGGCCGGGCGGCGGGCCGCTGGAGCAGTTCAGGGGCAGGCAGCGCACGCCCCCCCGTCCAGCGCCTCTTCCTCTGCAGCACCTTTGTTCTCTCCTTCAAGCGGAGAAGGAGTGGATTCAAAGGCTCCGGCAGCAGCGGCCGGGCCGAGCCAGCTTTGTGTTTGCCTTTAAGCCACAGTTGAAAGAGAGGAAAGGAACTTCAGCCGAGGGACTTCCTCGGCCCTGGAGGGGGCCAGGGAGGCCAGGGAAGTAGGAGGATGCTAGCAGCGGGTGGAGGAGAAGGGCAGGGCCGTAGGGTTCTTGGGCCAGAGGGACCTGGGCGGGCCATGCCAGGGCCAGTGTAAGTGTGGTCCATGCAGTCTGCAGCTCAGAGAGCACCAGTGCCGTGGGTGGCACCGTGGTGAGAGGTGCGTGTGTGTGTGTGTGTGTGCGCGCGCGCGTGTGTGTGCATGCGCCATGCGCGGCACAGGAGGCTGCCCTCTCTGCCCGTTCCTGGCGCCCCACAAGCCCCCGTGCCCTCTGCTCACCTCCGTGGTCTTGCTAATCTAAACCCCCCGTCTCATGACACCCCTCTTATACTCCCACCTTGTACACTTCCCTCTCCTCGCCCCTAGCAGCCTTACATACTGCTCCAGAAACTTCTGCTCGACGGTGCCACGCTGCCTGCAGTCTTGTGTGAAACTCAGCGCAAGCTCCCCGGAGTCACCCACGAGCTCTCTCCCAGCCTCACTTTCGTAAGGTGACTCAGCCCTTCCCCCGGGACCTGCCCTCTGGGGCCTTGATTGACAGCTCAGTCCGCAATGCCCCAGCCATGGGCCTCGGCCCGAGCCTCAGCCTCTGCACTGCCCGCCTCCTAGCCCAGCCTCTCTGCTTCTGTACTGCGACGCTTTACTGTGCAACTGCACGTCTTACAGCCCGGCGTCTTGCCATCTCCAACAGGCCTTGACCAGCAAGTATCCCCAAGTCAGTTATTTGCTTTTCACACCCGCTGTGGCTGTCCCAGGCCGGGCGGGCACCCCTGCCCCCCCCCCCCCCCCCCGCCGAGTTCCCCTCGGCCTCCTGTCTACCATCAATGCAGCACAGAGGCACCTGTCAGACAACATCCTTCCTGGGGTTCAGATCCCTCCTGGAGACTATGACCATGGAGATAAGACCCCCCCCCCCCCCCAGTGGCTGGCCATTCTACCTCCCCTCAGCACCATGCATGTTAGAGGAACCACCCCAGGGCCTTTGCATGAGCTGCTTCCTCCCTTGCCTGGCCTGCTTTCTCCCCAGATGGTGCATGATGCTCTCACTTTTCCTGAGGCCTCTGTTGATGTCTCCCCAGAGCTGCCCTCTCCTCAGAGAACCATGTCCCCCTTCCTTCCACTCCTCTGCCTGGCTTTCTTCTCCCCCTGCTCGCCAGCGCCTCACATCATCAGCTATATTTGACTGCCTAGCTTTCCCCTCTGCTGACAGGCTCTTTGCGGTGGGGTGAGGCTGTATTTCCAAGCTCACAACCGAGCTTGCCATAGAGTCAACACTCAGTATATGAAAGAGACAGGTCCCAAATCCTTCCAATCCCACTGGCTTGGGATCTTGGTTCCCACAGAACAGCTTTTGCCCCTACTTCCACCCAGGTGGGACCTTTGCCCCGCCCCAGCCATTGCCCCGCCCCAGCCATTGCCCCGCCCCGCCCCGAGGTGGCCACACCCCTCGCTCCACTCACCTGCCTCCATGGCCAGCACTGTGATGTTGTGCCAGCCAGCCGTCTCCCGGTCCAGCCCCTTGCCCGTCACGATGGCTCCCGTGTCCTCATCGATGTCGAAGATCTGGTCCAAATCCGAGTCTCGGTCAATGGCATACCTGCGGGGGACAGGGGGCACTGATTGATTGGTGCCAGACGGAGCCCAGCCTGTGTCCCCCACTCCACTCAGGAAAAGCAGGGGCAGACACCCCTTCTCCACAGGGAGGAGAGAGGACGGGGCTGAGTTGCAGCTCCGTGGAGCCGGTGCCTGCTAGGTGTCAGCTTCCCTTGTGCCCAGAGGTGGTGAAGGCTCAGAGTGCCTGGCACAGACGTTCCATCCTGGTCCTTCCCAATGAGGTGACTGTGGAGCTGGGCCTGATTCCCAAGAGGGGGACTGGGGAGGGGGGTGGGGGTGGCCAAGGGGGGTGAGAATTACTCAGCGAGTGGCTAATGCAAGACAGAGAGGCAAGGAAGTGGAGAGCTGGGCACCAGGGCACACAGGTCCAGGAATCAGGAGCTGGACAGGTCCGGTGTGTGTGTGTGTGTGTGTGTGTGTGTGTGTGTGTGTGAGCAGTGGGGGGGGGGGGAGAAGGGGCAGAGGTGGGGGTGGGAGGTTTCTTAGAGGTCAGGTGGAGACCCCCAGACCAGGGTCACAGGCAGAGCACGCTCTGGGGAGGGGTCTGGGGCCTGCTGCTTCTCCCGCCTGCCCAGCACACGCAGACTAATCGGTGGCTTTTCAGTTGTGGAGTGAAAAAGCTCTTTGTTCTGCCTTCTTCCCGGGCCTTTGTGCAGAAGCTCCAGGCCTGAAAGGCCCTTGTCCAACACATGTCTCGGGCGGCAGAGGCCCGGAGAGGCCCTGCCAGTGCCGGCTGCTGCTTCCCCGGCAGATAACACGGGGGGGGGGGGGGCAGCCTGGCAGTAGCACAAAGGCCCCAGGAGGCAAAGATGCCTTGTGTATCCTGGACAAAGACGGGGTGGAGAGGGAGGCAGGGGTCAGGCTGGAACCAGTCCCTCCCTAGGCTGAAGGGGAGGCCCCTCTCCCCAGAACCACAGAGGGGAAACTGAGGCCACCAGAAACACTGCCCATCTGTAAGATGACTCTCCAGTGGGGCCTTGGCTGCATGGCCAAAAACCTTTCTGGGCCTCATTTTCCCCATCTCTTCAGCAGGGTGTGAACTTCCTGACACAGCCTACCTGTGTGTCCTCCAACCCCATCCCTCAGCTTCCTTCCTCCTCCAGTACCCCGAAAGAGGGAGGGCGGGGCTTTAGGAGAGCTCTCACCTTTCCTATACACTGCAGTGTGGGGGAGGGGGGCACAGGGCAGGGTGGGCCTGCCGACCAGTCTCCTGAGTCCCATTAATCTTCCTGCCCTAACCGGCTAAGCACAGGTCCTTCCTGACCTGACTCCTGGGGCTCTCACCCCCAAGATGCCAGTTCTACCCTCTCCACTGGACGTGTGTAGATCCCTGTGCTCATCCGCTCCTGGTGGATGCAGCCCTGGGTGGCCTCCTGGGAGCTGTGACGCCCACGCCCTTGGCAGATGTGGACAGGGGGCCTCCCAGAGGAAACTTGCTACACGTTGGGGACACTGGGTACCGTCATGCGCAAGGGAGCAGGCCGGAGTGGGAAGGGCGAGGGGTCCCGGCCAGGGCTCTGATTGACAAATGCACGTCCCAGGTGCAGCTTCTCAAGGGAGGGGTGAGGGGCTTTATATCTGGACAAAGGTGCCATGTGGGCTACTGGTGGCCTTGGCGCTGGGTGGCTTAGCAACTGCTCCAAAATTGCAATCTGTACCCAAATCTGGGTGCGGATATATCTGGCGTTCGAACTTGCGCTCTGCCAAGTCTCAAGGCAGGGAGGCTTGGGTTCCCTTTGCCCCATCCCCGGCTCTGGCCCCGGGAAGATGCTAGGGTCCAAAGAAGGTAGAAGGAGAGTGCTGGTGAGCTGAAAGGAATCTTGAAGGCCCCTTCCGATCCTCCTGGTGGAGGGCAGGAAGGCAGGCTGGGAAGATAGAAACTGCTGCCTTGTGCTGTTTTCCCTGCCTTTCCTGGCTTCCCTCTTTTATTCTCTCTTGGAAGAGAAGGCAGAGGCTGGAACCTAAGTGGAGGCAGCTGTTCCCAAGGCCCTGGGGTAGGGCCCACAGGGATGCTATTAAGCAGCTAAAGGCTTGAGCTGCGGGTCACTGGGGCTGCTGGCTGAATCCAGGTGTTTCTGTTCCAGTTCAGGGAGCCAGTGAGTGAGCGGGAGGGAGCGGGGAAGGGAGGGAGGAGGGGGGGAGGGAGGGAGGCCCATACCGGGCTCAGCATGGGGCAAGGACCGGGGCCTGTGCACACATAGCTGTGTCTGTTCTACACGGTGGGTGGGAGGTGCACTGTGGGGCACGCGTGCATGCATGTGTAGGTGTGCACGCATGCTAGTGGCATGTGGTTCGGATGGCAAAAGCTCAGGAGGCAGCCGATCTGCCCGGGGTCCACGCGTGCACATGGTTTGCTTCCAGCCCTTGAGCCTTTAACTTTCCTCGCGTAGCGCCGGGAGGGTGAATGTGTCTAAGGTGCTAGCTGACTTCCAGAAAAATGACTTCAGGGGTGTCAACTATTGTTCTGTGTGTGACAAGGAAGCGGAGCACACGGGAGCTCCTGGGCCGCGAGCGCGTGTCTGAACACGCCCGTGGACCGAGCAGGCCGGGAGACAGCTGCGGGGCTGAAGCTCTGCTTGGGACTCAAAGGTGAGCAAAGGAAAGGAGGAGTGTGGGTGGAGGGTGCGGTGACAGAACCTGTGTCCTGCGTGTGCAAGTGCCCACGTGTGCCCCGGGGGCGTGGAGTGGGGGATGGGAAGGACAGAGCCACCTGTGTGGGTTGGGAACCTGGCTCTGTGGCCTTGGGTAAGTTACCTAATCTTTCTGTTCTTCAGTTTCCTCTTCCTAAACACACTCCAGGAGCACACCGAAAAGCTCACCTACGAGCTGGGTGCTGGAGGAGCCGATGGCTCACACCTTTAATCCTAGCTACTCAGGAGGCTGAGATCTGAGGATTGCAGTTCAAAGCCAGCCCAGATAGGAAAAGGCTGTGAGACTCTTATCTCCAATTCAACACCAGAAACAAATGGAAGGGGCGTTGGGCTCCAAGTGGTAGAGCACTAGCCTTAAGCGGAAAAGCTCAGGGACAGCGCTCAGACCCTGAGTTCAAGCCCCACAACTGGCAAAAAATAAAAATACAGTAAGTAAAAGCTCACCCACAATGCCTAGAATGTGGCCAGAACCAGGGGTGACTGATCTCCAAGACAAATGTCACTGTGCCTTTCTTGAGGTCCTACTGTGCGTCCGGGGCTCAATCCTCTCCCCAGCCCTGGGGTCACCAAGCACAGACTTGTCACGCGGAGACATTTGGTGCCTATGAGGAGGTTGGCACTACCTGGATGCCCATTACAGGGACGGGGAAACTGAGGCTCCAAGGGGCCACAGTGACTTGTTGAAAAATTCTATAATTGGGCTGGGTTTTGAACCCGGATCTCGGATTACAAAGCGGAGGGCAGCAGCTGGCAGACGGCCTGGCTGTGTGCCGGGAGGCCTGATGTGGAGACCTGAGCACCGCCCTCCCTTAGCCTTCTTGATCCCAAGTTGGGATCGAGTCGACCTTGCCTGGTGTCCCAGGTCCTGCCCAGCCTGGCCCACACATCCCTCATTCTTTATCACTACCAGGTCTGACAAGAGCCACCCAGCAGAGCTCTGTCCCTGGCCCTGAGTTCGAATCCTCCCCCTTCCCATCTCTATAGCCTGGAGCGCCCTCTCTTGGTTCCAAGCTGGCTCCGGGCCCCTGGCTTGTTCACACAGAGGCCCAGCCTGCCACTAGCCATGTCTGACTCATTTCCATGGCCTGTGCACAGGGGAGGACACAGCACAACTGTGGGAACTTCATGAACCACAAAGAGTCTGGAGCTCCAGGGCTGAACCCCAGTCCTTTCCACTCCTCAGTTTACCAACTGGAAAAATAACTTCCCTTCTCTGACCCTCAGTTTCTTCATCTAAAAGATGAGTGTAATACCTTGCAGGGGTATGGGAAACAGCAGGATGTTTTCTACTCCCCCAGTGCAGAAACAGGAAAAAACACTCCCCAGGTGCCTTTCCCAGTCTCAGGGCACACCAGCGCCCTGCCACCTGCCTCGGGACCTTTGCACCTGCTATCCCTGCTGTCTGGAATGCTCTCTTCATACTTTCTGCAAGGTTGGCTCTGTCACTGTGGTCTTTGCTGTGGCCCTAGCCTCTCCATACCCTGTTATTCTATTTTCTTCCCAGTCCCTCACCAGCATTTAACCATTTGCTGGCGGTACATGCTAGTCTTACCATCTGTTCTCTTCTCTCAATGACCTTAGAAGGAGAAGCTGGGGCGCGCGCTGGGCTACGCAGTGATGGCAGCACCCGAGGGCCCTTCTCCGTCACGTGCAGCTCTTCTCCGGCCTCCAGCTCGCACTCTTGCACCCCACAATCTGGGAGCTCCACACCCCCCCAACCCCCAAGCTCTGGCCTTGGATGAGTCATCTCCTTTTCCCCAGGCCTGGATCAGGGGAAGAAGGCCAAGAAGGGGAAGCTGGGTGTTTGTGTTGTTGAACTGGACCTGTCTCCACATCTGAGGAGCCCCAGGTGAAGAGAGATGAAAGCAGGTTCCAGAGTTGGTCCCTTCAGCACGGATGAAAGCAGAGGGGAGGGGAGGGGACGGGGGGAGGGGAGGGGCCGAGAGGAGGAGCCGAGGGGAGGGGAGGGGCCGAGAGGAGGGGCCGAGGGGAGGGGAGGGGCCGAGAGGAGGGGCCGAGGGGAGGGGAGGAGCCGAGGGGAGGGGCGGAGTCGAGGGGAGGGGAGGGGCCGGGGGAGGGGCGGAGCCGAGGGGAGGGGAGGGGCCGAGGGGAGGGGCCGAGGGGAGGGGCCGAGGGGAGGGGAGGGGCCGAGGGGAGGGGCGGAGTCGAGGGGAGGGGCGGGGTCGAGGGGAGGAGCCGAGGGGAGGGGAGGGGCCGAGGGGAGAGGAGGAGCCCAGGGGGCAGCGGGTGGAGCAGCAGCAGCAGGCTGAGCTTTGGGACCTGAGCCGGGTCCCTCTCTCCCTCAGGGCCTCAGACTCCTGACACACACAGGTGAAGGCCCAGGGAGGGGGGGGCCAGAGTCCTCCCATTTGTTTCGTGGTGGAACAGAGGCAGAGGGTGTGCAGAAGATGGAAGGAAGGAATACAGCATCCGGGCTTCTCCTAGGAGTGAGCTAACATGCGACTGCACCCCGCTTCCCTTCCTCTGTGGTGGCCACGGGTCTCCCCGTGTGTCACCACCTGGGCCTGCCCTGCCAGGCTGCCCAGCCTGGACCATCACCGTGCTGTGTTGTGTCCAGCCATCGTCCAATGTAGAGACTCGGGTTAACTTCTCCTCTCTCTCTCCCCCACACCCAGCCAGGCTGGCTCCAGCATCAGCTGGGGGTGTGTGACTGGGATCTGCCCACAGGGGTTTTGGGGTGCAGGGAGCCCGAGCCAATCCCGCACCCCTGGAGCGCTCGTGAATCTGTCTCTGTTGCAGCTCTTCTCCCCTCTTCTGATTGTTTTTCACACAGCCCCCCCCCCCATCTCCACAGGGACACGCGGCCCCTAGCCTGGCTCTGCTCACCCTGGGCTCTGCTTCCTTCCTCACCACTGTCCACTTTGACACTGGCCCTGTACTCAGTGAGGCCAGGGATGTGGGGGCCCTGAGGATGTGGTGGGGAGCAAATTCCTGTAGGCCCTGCCATTTTGGGGTGGATGGATGGGGTGGTAGAGCCATTTAGGAAAGGAGGTGGTGGGTGGAAGGTGAGGAGGGGGGCAGGGGGAAACAAGGGCCAGGGCTGGGTGGGCTGAACGTCAGGAAGAGCAGCCAGGGAAGGCTCGGCGACAAGACTTCTGAGCAAAGGAAAGCAGGGGAACATTCTAGGCTCAGGGGCAAAGCAGCAGCACAGCCAGGAGCGGAGGCTGGGTAGAGGAGGATGTGTGGGAGGGGCGGTTTGTGGGAGGGGCGACCTGGAGGTGGAGGGCTGTGGGTGGGGACAGCAAGCAAGTCCACCTTGCAGGTGAGCAGGGCTAGGCTGCCCCTGCATGGCTGAAAGGTGAGGAGGGGGTAGGCGTGGAGGAAGAGGAGGAGAGGGGGCCAGCCAGGAGTCACAAGAGTTGCAGAACGTGGGACCTGGGGCAGCCTGGCATCCGGTGTGATGAGAAGGGTCTGTGTCGTGTGTGTGTGTGTGTGTGTGTGTGTGTGTGTGTGTGTGTGCGCGCGCGCGCGTGCACGTGCTGGTCCTGGGGCTTGAACTCAGGGCCTTACACTCTAGCTTGGCATTTTTGCTCAAGGCTAGAGCTCTACCACTTGAGCCACAGCTTCCCCTCCAGCTTTTTGCTGGTTAACTAGTGATAAGAGTCTCCTGGACCTTCCTGCCCAGGATGGCTCCAACACTTGATCCTCAGATCTCAGCCTCCTGGGTAGCTAGGATGACAGGTGTGAGCCACCTTAAGGCCGAAGCCATAGAGCTTGTTAAGTGTTTGTGGGGCGGTGGAGAGAGGCTGAGGGGGATTTGGGGGTCCAAGGCCTGGCCTGGGGGTGGACTAGACAGAAGGCCCCAAGGTCAGCCCAGGGCTGGCCTTCACGTCCCCTCCTCCCCCCGCCCGGTCCCCTCTGCCCGCCGTCTGTCAGCGGTGGGCAGCAGCAGGCGTGGGGCCCGGGCGGGGGTCTCACCGGACGGGCCGGTTGGCGGCGTCGGGGTCCCGCGCCGTCACCACGCCGACCAGGGAGCCCACCTGCGCGTCCTCCTGCACCTCCAGGAGGCGGGAGGGCGGCCGGAACTCGGGGGGCTCGTCCACGTCCGTCACGGCCACACGCACGATCGCCTGGTCGCGGAAGGTGCCCAGGTCCGCGAAGCGTGGGTCCACGAACTTGTTGAGGGCCTCCAGCACCACTGTGTGCACGGGCTGCGACTCGAAGTCCAGGCGCTGCGGGCATAGGACGGTCAGGGCTTGGCTCAGGGCACCCTCGCACTCCCCTCCAGGGGAGGGAGACCGGGCCGAGTGGGGCTGGCCCCAGCTCACAGGCTAAATGGGAACATTCACCAAGGGCCTGGATCTCCCAGATCTAGCTACAGCAGAGAAACTGAGGCGCCAAGGGGCCACTTCACTCAGACATTGGTCTCCTGGCCAGCACTGAAATATTTTACTCCGTTTTTTTTGTTTTTTTTTTGGGGGGGGTCAGTCATGGGGCCTGAACTCAGGGCCCAGGCGCTGTCCCTGAGCTCTTCTGCTCAAGGCTAGCACACTACCACTTGGAGCCACAGTGCCATTTCTGTTTTTTTTTTTTTTGGTGGTTCATTGGAGATAAGAGTCTCAGAGCCTTTCCGCCCATAGGCATGAGCCACCAGCACCCAGCTTCCTTTGTTTCTTAGTATGTGCCAGAAACTCAACTCCATACCATTCTATTATTACATGCTATTATTATTATCATCATCAACAACAATAATATTATTATTGAGGGAAGGAGACTCAGAAACCTGTTACACAAAGTCGGTGAGCAGTCTGTCACTAGCAGAGCCAGGAATGGAACCGGGACAGGGTGACTCTCAAGCCCAGGAGATGCCAGGGCACTGGGCTCTGCAGCTTTCCACACCTGGGTTCCAATCCCAGCTCTGCAGCCGATTGGCTGAAACTGGCCGTTCTCTGGGGCCCAGGAGAGAGGCTGATGAGACATCTGTGCTGCGAGTCCCTGGAGAGGCGCTGCGTATATGCTGAGCTGTGCTAATGGGTGACCCTCTGGCTGGATGAGTGTTTGGCTGGGTGCTGGCTCCCGCCTTCTGAATATCCTCCTTCCAGCACCACGCTGCGGCTGCCCGCCCCCGCCCCCCTGTACTGGGTAGCCTTTGATCAGTCAGGGAGTCCTTCCTGGAGCCCCCCAGGCAGGTGCCAGCCCCGTGAGCAGGGTCTCCCTCCCGTTTTCCCTCTCTCACAGGCCACCTCTTCTCCCATCCAGTTGCCTGGGAAATCGGGCGGCAGGGAGGCAGGTGCTGGCCGGGCCTGTGAGTGAGCGATGACCCCTGGAGCAGTTCATCAATCAGGCGGGGCCGACTGACTCCAGACACCCCCCCCCCCCCCCCCCGCGCCTGCTAGAGCAGCAAAGCTGGTGGAGGCGAGGAGGAGCAGTCTGGGGATAAGAACCATGCCGGGAGCCCCACGCCAGGCTCTGCGCACCGTGCCAGGATGCTGGGATCCACACCCTCCGTCTGCGAAGTGGGCTTGCCTTACAGTAAAACACACGGATGCCCCCTCCCAAAAAAGACCAGAAGGACTCACGCTTAAAAAGGTGGCCAGGGGGCTGGGAAGGCGGCTCAGTGGCAGAGAGCTTGCCTAGCCTGCGTGAAGCCCTGGTTCAATTCCCCAGTACCACATACACAGAAAAAGCCAGAAGAAGTGGTGCTGTGGCTCAAGTGGTAGAGTGCTAGCCTCGAGCAAAAGAAACTCAGGGACAGCGCCTAGGCCCTGAGTTCAAGACCCAGGACTGGCTAAATATATACATATATATATATATATGTATATATATATATTATATTATATATATATATATGTATATATATATATATGTATATATATATATATACATATATATATAAGGTGTTTGGGCATCAGTGGTTCATGCATTTAATCCTAGCTACTCAGGAGGCTGAGATCTGAGGATTGCACTTTGAAGCCAGTCTGGACAGGAAAGTCTCTTGAGACTCTTATTTCCAATATACCACCAAAAAGCTAGAAGTGGCCTCGTGGCTCAAGTGGTAGAGTGCCAGCCTTGAGCTAAACAAGTTCAAGGACAGCTTCTAGGCCCTGAGTTCAAGCCCCAATATGGACAGGCAGGCACACATGCACACAAAGATGGATTCTGAAGCCAGCCTGCTCAGGCTTGCTTTCATCCCTCCTGGACTAGGCTTAGTTAGAGTGCAGCCTAGAGCAAGTGATTAGATTTCTTGAGGCCTCAGTTTCTCATGAATAAAATGGACAGTGGCAGCAGTGCCCCGGGGACTGGTGTGAGGGTTGAGTGAGTTCATCGGGGGCTGCCTGGCACAGGGCTGGCGCTTTGTGAGAAGCAGTGATCCCAGCTAAGCAGCTGGGGACTGGGAGCTCCGGCTCTCACCTCAGGAGCAATCATCTTCATACAGTGGGGAGGGGTCCGGTGGGGGTGGGAGGGGAAGGGGTGCCTCAGGTCCTGGAGGATTAAGGAGGAGACTCTGCTGAATGGCAGGAAGAGCCCTGGCAGGTTTGTGGGCTGGGGCAGGGGGCAGGCCTTGGGTAAGGAGTGGGCTTGAGTCTCCAAGACCTGCCCAGCCCTGACTTGCCACCTTCTGCAAGATGGATTTTGCTTCTCTATGTGATCTCTGTCTCTGCTCCCTGAGATCAATGAGTCTGCAGATTCAGCTTCTGGTTCCCACACCAGCCGGTGGGCCAGGACGCTTGTCAGACTCAGGAAAGAAAGAGATTTGGAGACACCAGACCTAAGTTCAAATCCTGGCTCTGTCCCGTATAGGTGTGACTTGGGCAAGCCCCTTTACCTTTTTCACTCATAAAAAATGAGGACCGTGACTTGTCTTCCAGAAGAAGACACAAAGATGAAAGGAAGTAATGAGTGCCAAGGCTCTGGAATGGGGATGAAGTAGCGCTTTTGTTGTCTTGAAGAGTGAATTCACATCTGGATTGAATCTTGTCTCAGACAAGTAGCTGTGCAAACTCACATAAGTCACTTGACCTCTCTGTGCTTCATATCCTCATTCATAAAGTGGGAATGATACGGTGCTTTCCCAGATTGGTCCTAGATCTAGAGAGACTGAACCCCTGGGGCACAGTGAGTGGATGCCTGGAAACTCCAGAGGCCTCCTTGGTCCTGTACCCCCTGCCCCACAGCAGCAGACCCCCCCCACCCCCCACCCCCGCCCGTCCCAGGCAGCCTACCTTCTGCACTAGGAGGACGGCTTCCTGCGTGTCGCTGTCCGTGGTGACCTTGAATGCATCCCCGCCGCTGCCGCTCTCCTCCTTGAGATGGTAGGTCATGTCCGTATTCTCGCCCACGTCCGAGTCCTCGGCCTTCACGCGCCCCACGGCTGTGCCGACAGGGGCGGACTCCTGGATGCTGAACTGGTACATCTCTGTGGGGACAGGCCACGGGCAGGGGTGGAGCAGCCCCACCGGTCTGCCAGTGCTGGGGTAGGGAGGAAGGCTGCCCGGACCCCCGGGTCTCCTGTGCAGGCTGGCAGGGGCTGTGAGGGGCGGCCGGTCTGCTGCAGAAGAACTTGCTCACTGATTTGGCCCTCGGTTTCCCCATACGGCTTTGGAGCCAGCTGGAGCCTCGTGACCCTGAGCCTCGGTTTCCCCACCTGAAGAGTGGGAGCAAGTAGGGCACTGCCCTGCAGCTGCGTTGCCTTGGCAACCCGCACAGCAGGTGCTGCTTGTGAAGTGCTCAGTGCAGAGCCGTGTGGACGCTCGGGAGACAGGGCGGACTGCAGTGAACTGGCCAGCCGCCTGCCCACCTCCCCACCCCTGCTCACGAGGACACTGCATCCCTGCATCCCTGTGTGTGCCCCACCTCCGACATCCCCTGACGGGGAACCAAGTCCCAGCTGGCACCCCAACAGGAAGCGAATGGCGCTGAGGTCACAGCAGGACAGAATGCAGTGCACCTGTCCTGTGTGGATGGGGGCTTGGCACTCGGGAGAAAAACAGAGCAGGGACCCGGCGGGCTTCTGCGGACCGCGCTGTGTGGCTTGAAATAGGCTGATCAAGGATGGCCTCTCCAGGGCTTCCATAGGCATTGCCTAGCAAGCAAAGGCCTGGGGTGTGGTCCTCAGATATGCAAAGAAAAGGGGGGGAGGGCTCATGGAGAAGGTGACATTTCTGTACATGTCAGGGAGGAGAAGGAGTGAGTCACACAGATAGGAAGAACATGCTAGACTGAACAGCAGGTATACAGGTCCTGGGGTAGGTGTAATGCCTGGTACGTTTGAAGAACATAAAGATAAGTCACATAGCTGGCAGGGAGAAGCAGGGAGAAGCAGGAGGTGCAGACTGGGAGTTGAAACCAACTGGGGCAAAAAGTTTACTTGACCACCAGCACAGCCAATAAAAAGGTGGGCCACGGTGGTGCACAGCTGTCATCCCAGCTGCTGAGGAAATGTAAATAGGAGGATCAAAGGCCAGGCTAGCCCAAGCATAACATGAGATCCTATTTTAAAAACAATCAGAGTAGCAAGGCATGATACCCATGGTAGAGTGCCTGCTTGGCAAGTGTAAGGTCCTGAGTTCAAACCCAATACGGGGGCTGTAGGCATGGCTCAGAGGTAAAGTACCTGCCTAGCAGGTGTGAGGTCCTGAGTTCAAACCCCAATCCTGGGGCTGTAGGCATGACTCAGAGGGAAGGCAACTGGGTGCGAGGTCCAGAGATAAACCCCAATATGGGGCTGTAGGCATGACTTAGAGGTGAAGCACCTGCCCAGCAAGTATGAGGACCTGAGTTCAAGCTCAAGTATGGCCAATAAATACATAAATAATTTAACAAAGGCTGAAGAACTAATTCAAAAAAACCTCCAATATTGACAAGAGAGAGAAGGAAATGAGAGAGAAGGGATGGAAGGAGGGAGAAAAGAAAGATGGGATGGAGGGCAGGGAGGGCAGGGAAGGGGAGGGGAGGGGAGGGGAGGGGAGGGGAGGGGAGGGGAAGGGAAGGGAAGGGAAGGGAAGGGAAGGGAAGGGAAGGGAAGGGAAGGGGGGAAGGAGTCTTCTTGAGCCCCAGCCCTTCCTCTCTGGGGATAATTCCGGGTAGCCTGTGTTTAGACGGAGGATGAGGCTGGCGGAGGGGGCCAGGGTCCCAGCCCCAGGGCCTGGCGGCAGGCTTTTGGAGGCCTGTTCTGTCTGGCTGAGGTGCTCAGCTCAGGGATTTCTTATCTCATGGGGGTCAGTCTCCTGTGGTGGGGGCTAAAGTGAGAGCAGCTGACCTCAAGTAATGACTCTCCTGATAGGGATCAGCGGCTCCCAGCAGCGGCATTTAGTCTCTGCCAGCTTCTGGCTTCCCTATAGTTGGGCCTAGAGGGCCTGGAGATGCCTGGAAGGTGCAGACCTCCACCCTCAGACTCAGAAGGGAAAAGAGACATTTGTCCCCAGACTCAGTTTCCCCAGGATCAACCACCAGTGACCTTTTGCCTGGGGGTGGCAGCTGCTTGGCTCCCACCACAACCCCAGGGCCCCATCTCCAGCACCTGCCTTCGGCAGGCTTGGGCTGGGTGGCACGGCCAAGAGCCAGAGAGACAGGCGGGGTGGGAGGGCAGACTGTGCAGGTGGGCTTGCCTCTGAGGGGAGCAGGGGAGGGGCAGAGGGGACTGCGCTCCCCGGAGGCTTGGAAAGTCAGTTTGGAGACTGGCGCTGGGTGGCTCACGCCTGGAAGCCTAGCTACCGAGGAGGCTGAGGTGTGAGGATCACAATATGAAGCCAGCCCAGGGAAGCAAAGTCTGTGAGACTCTTACCTTCCATTAACAAGCCAAAAACCAAGCAAGAGGTGGAGCTGTGGCTCAAGTGGTAGAGTGCCAATCTTGAGTGGAAAAACCAAGTGACAAGCACCAGGCCCTGTGTTCAAGCCTCAGTACTTGCACAGGGGGGAGTGCACACAGGTGAGCCCAGGCTGGGGCTTCCCGTGCAGGGCGCAGGGTGCATGGTTTGAGGGAGGGCAGGGGGGTGGAGATGCTGGGGGGGGATGGGCAGGTGGGTGGAGATGCTGGGGGGGATGGGCAGGGGGGTGGAGGTGGGCAGGTGGGTGGAGATGCTGGGGTGGTGGATGGGCAGGTGGGTGGAGATGCTGGGGTGGAGGTGGGCAGGTGGGTGGAGATGCTGGGGTGGTGGATGGGCAGGTAGGTGGAGATGCTGGGGGGGATGGGCAGGTGGGTGGAGATGCTGGGGTGGTGGATGGGCAGGTAGGTGGAGATGCTGGGGGGGATGGGCAGGTGGGTGGAGATGCTAGGGTGGAGGTGGGCAGGTGGGTGGAGATGCTGTGGAGGGGGATGGGCAGGTAGGTGGAGATGCTGGGGGGGATGGGCAGGTGGGTGAAGATGCTGGGGAGGGGGGATGGGCAGGGGGGTGGAGATGCTGGGGGGGGATGGGCAGGTGGGTGGAGATTGGGGGCTCTAGATGGGGATCCTGAGGTGGGTGGGGCCCATGGGGCGGGAAGGCCGGCAGGTGCAGGCCGGCTGGCTCGGTGGAGGCCTCACTCACTCTGGGGGAAGCGGGGCGGATTGTCGTTGACGTCGGTGACCACAATGGTGACGGTGGTGGAGCCCGAGAGGCCGCCCAGCTGGCCCGCCATGTCTGTGGCCTGGATCACCACCTCGTAGCGCTCCTGGCTCTCGCGGTCCAGGTCCGGCACGGCGGTGCGGATCACGCCTGCGGGCGAGTGGGGGGAGTGGGTGAGCCTGGCCGACCTGCAGCTCAGGGGGGATGCTTGGGGTTCCGGGGAGAACTCAGGGTCACGGGGACCACTGCATACCCGCTCATGCTCAGGCTGCACACTCTACACACACACACACACACACACACACCTCTACATAGCGACAGACCCACACCCAACACATACATACACACCCTCAAACACGCTTGCACACAAACACAACACCAACACACAACAACAGATTGTTCTGTTTCCTAAGAAGAGGCCCGTGGAGCTGGGTGCTGGTGGCTCACACCTGTAATCCTAGCTACTCAAGAGGCTGAGATCTGAGGATCACATTTCCAAGCCACCACAGGCAGGCAAGTCTGTGAGACTCTTTTCTCCAATTAACCACTAGAAAACCGGGCAGCAGTGGGGTGGGTATTACCCAAGCCACTCCAGGCAAATCTCGTGGTCTCATTTCCCCTGCACATCAGGTGGACATGGGTGGACCACGTGTAAGAATGCATGCAAAGTCACGAGTGAATCCACACCCTTATTCACTTGCATCTTCTCCGAGGATTCCCAGTGCAAGGGTCTACATTCTCTCCTTTGGCCAGGCGCCAGCGATGGGCTGGGCAGACAATCCCCAGGCCACTCCCTGAGTGGGGACAGCTGCAGAAGTGAGAGGCCGCTGCAGAGGGAAGGCCAGGCTTCTTGCCGTCCCCCTCCCCCAGCCAAGAGAACAGACCCAGGGGGTGGAGAGGGTTGATGAGGCATTCGGAGCCTCTGCCCACACCCCTGCAACCTGCCCTGCACAGGTGGTGGCAGGCAGAGCCTAGGGCCTGCGCACCAGGTGAAGCCACGCACCAGCAGACCTGCGATGCGCCCCATAAAGCCCAGGCTCTGAGGCCTGATGTCCCCAGCCTGTCCCCCAGATTCCAATAAAGGCAATGGACCAAGAGGAATGGTGGTGTGGAGGGTGTGTTGGGGGGGGGGTTAGTGTGTGTGATATTTACAGTATATGGTGTGTGTGTGTAATGGAGAGACTACAGGAAGAAAAAAAGTCAGAGAGGAATACAGAAGAGGCAGGAAGAGAGAGACCAACACGGATGGAGATTTGAAGAGAAAAGGAGAGTAGGAGAGGGAGGGACAAAGCTCAACAGTACCTAGATGGCTGGAGGTGAGCGGGGGGGGGGGGGGGGGGGGGGGAGAGAGGGAGGGCAGGGCTCACCAGGCTGGCGAGCCGGCCCCTGCGCGCAAGGGCAGGGACACAAGCGGAGGTTCATTGGGTCCTTCCTGTGCACTCTGCTGCAGGCCACTTTGGGTCCAGAGCCACCCTGAATGAAGTGGTCCTGTGGTCGCATTGGAAACCACTGTGCTGTGGGCTTGGCCACCAGAAGCCTCGCAGAAGCCCCAGCTCAGTGGGGATTCGAGAACAAACAAGGCTCTGCCCTTGCAGAAGAGTGAGGGCCTCTGTGGCTACCCCCCACTCTGCCGTGAAGTCTCCATCCCTTCTACCTCTGGAGGGTCTGGGGACATTAAGCTCTTCTCTGTTGGAGAGTGGTTGTGCCATCTCTCAGGAATCATCTCTGGCTGTCAATGAGGTGGGACTCAAGAGGCCCTTCTACCTGACCTGGGTCACTTGTTGTGGGTAGCTATGGTGATAACTTCCAACAGGACAGGTGTTCAGCGGCTGCAACCTTGGAGCATTCCTTTCCATACTGACTCTGGCCCTGGGATGTGCCTTGTTTGGGCTGACTGGACATCGAGCAGCCATGACCAAAGCAAAGGCTGGACAAGCCCTCCTATTCCGGGGCTTGATCTTCTGGAATCCTGAGACCCTCCCCCCCCGCCCCCCAGGAGGAGAGGCCACAGAGAGGCAGGCCTGGTCACACCAGCTGTCCCTGGATGAGTCAGCACCCCCAAGCAATGCCCACAGAATCACTGCCCAGCCAAGCCCACAGCATTGTCACCATAATAGACTGTTGTTGGGCTAAGCCACTAAATTTGCAGTGGTTTGTTATGTAGCCATTGATAAGTGACACAGAAATCCAGTTGGCTGAGCTGTTCCTCTCTTGGTTCTATCTGGGCACGCTCGTGCGGCTGCATTTAACTAGAAGATCAAGGGGGCCTGGAAGGTCCGAGATGGCCTCATCCACATGCCTGGCAGCTGGCCTCTTGCATTGCTTGCAGGCTGGTCTTACTACATGCAAATCCAGGACAGCACAAGTGAAAGCTGCCAAGCCCTTTAAGGCCTAATCTCAAATTTGCAGAACATTATTCTGCTACATTCTATAGGCCAAAGTGAACCACAGTCCAACCCTGATTCAAGAGGAGGGGGAAGGAATACTACCTCTCCCTCTCCTTCTTCCTCTTTCCCTTCCCCTCCCCTCTCTCCCCACCCTGTCCTGAGGCTTGAATTCAGGGCCTGGGTCCTGTCTCTGAGCCTCTTTGTGTTCAAGGCTAGCACTCTACCACTTGAGCCACAGCACCACTTCCGGGTTTCTGCATAGTTTATTTGAGATAAGAATCTCATGAACTTTCTGCACTGGCTGGCTTGGAACTGGGATCCTCAGATCTCAGCCTCCTGAGCAGCTAGTATTACAGGCGTGAGCCACCGATGCCCAGCTAACACCGCCTCTTTCTGGGAGAAGCAAAACCACACCACAGTTGGCACTCTGTATCTTAAGTATACTTGCTCTGATTCAACCAAGGGCAGACTGCAAACATTCAGGAAAAAGACTGAAGGCATGGCTCAAGTGGTAGAGCACTGCCTGGCATGCACAAAGCCCTGAGCTCCCAACCCCAGTATTTAAAATAAAAAGAAAGAAAGAAAAAAAAGCATCTGAACTGAGCATGTGTAGATTTCTTTTCTTGTCGTTATTCCCTGAAAGACAGAGTGTAACAACTATTTATATAACGTTTACTTTACACTAGGTATTATAAGTAATCTGAAAATGATTTAACATATACGCAAGGATGTGTGTAATTATGTGCAAATACGCCGTTTTATCTACAAGGCCTGAGCATCCACGATTTCTGTCTGCAGGGGTTTTGGAAACAGCCTCCACAGTTAGCTAGAGGCAGGGTAGGAAAAGGCTGCCACAGGGGAGGAAAATCGGTGACACGTTCTCCCCTCCGTCCCCTTCCTCATTCTATTGCCTGGTGCCAGAAAAACATGGTAGATGCTATTGCACTCCTGGGGGGGGGGGGGTGGATGTGAGGTACAAGTCTATGGAGTTGTTCTTCAAACAGTTGCAAATTCATTCATTCATGCATGCATTCATTGTGCACAGAGGGCCCCTGGTGTTTCAAGAATCACGTGTGAGCAGGGGGAGAAGTCAGGAAGATACAGGTTCTGGATCTTCTCCGTTTCCACGCCACCTCACCATGGGCAAGGCCTGGAGTCTTCCTGAGCCTCTGTTTCCCATTCTCTAAAGTGGGGTCACCCACTTGGGGAGGGGCTATTGAGGAGTTCGATGAGATAAAACATCCAGCATCCAGCACCGGGTGTCACATCTGGGAGACAGCTTGTTGACCTCCTTCTTCAAGCTGAGTTGGACACGCCCATCAACAAGTCCCACAGTCAGGTGGGGCATTGGGGGAGGAAGGGGGAGGAGTCACTCTGTTCTCCTTCCCCCAGAGGATCTAAAGGGCCTTGGCACAAAATGTCCAAACGGCATTTGGACTGTCTGGTTGGCTCGGTGCAGTGGCCTATTTGTTTCTGGCTTCTCTGTTGGAACAAAAGCTCTGTGAGGGCAGTAGCCAAGTCCAACTCGTGGTCACCTTCCCCTCAGGATCGAGCAAGTGCTCCACAAAATGTCAGCTTCCTCCTTTCCTGCTCTAAAGGGTATCTCTGACCCAGTGGAGAATTTTCAGCGGTGATCTTGAAGCCTCTGTGTCTTTCTGCTCCTTCAAGGGTGGTGGTAGGCTGGGGCTGGTAATTACAACCTGGCCACGGCCCCCTGCAGCCTTGACTTCACCCAGTGCCTCCCAGGCCCAGCTGTTATCCTTGCTGCCCACCTCCGAATCTGACGGGAGGGGCCCTGGAGCCTGGGTGACACCTCATTAGCCAGCAAATGCCATCCCTGTCTCCCCTGTGGGGGGGGGGGGGCTTGCTGGCAGGCCTGGCCTTTAAAACACACGAGTTAATTCCTCCTCTGGCACTGGGGCCCCACATCGGCCCGCCCCCTCCCTTCCTCACGCCTTCCTCCCCGGTCTCCGTGCGGCTCGGCTCCCTGCTCTCTGCACAGTGAGAACAGACTGTACCTCTAGCAGCTGCTAAATATAGACCCGCAGCAGCGGAATATTCCTAGCTGGGGAATGGAGCTGGAGCTGGGAATGGTACCAGGGTGGCTCTGGCGAGGGGAGGGAAAATCAGCCTCTTCTTGGGAAATGTCAAGGAAGGATCCTTTTCCATCCAGAAGTTGAGGGCCCGAGAACGCAGACCCCCATGTGAACCCCTTCATCGCCTTGTGTGGTGCCTGGGAGGGGTTCCTCCTCTTCAGGGCTCTAGGGCTGTCTGCATGTCCTCTTGGCCTCTGTAGGAGCTGGATGCCTTCTTGGCTCTCCGCGAGTCTGATCTCTATCTTCCCACCCTTGCCACCTCCCAAGACCCAATCCTGGCCCTTCCGTTCTGCATTCCTTCTTTTCTGCTCCTTCTTCTCTTCTTCTCCTTGTCCACTCCAAAGTCCCTGTCTCACCTGCCTGGATAGGTGAAAATCTCATCATCGCCACCCTTGTCTTCCCCTTATACCAAGTTCAGGGCTAAGCATTACACACTTCGTGCTCCCTTTGCCTGTGTGGCCTTCCCCAGACATCCCCGTGGCTCATGGCCTCACTTCATTTGGGACCCAAGGTCACCTCCCCAGAAAAGCCTGCCCTGATTTTTTAATCCAAGTCTCTCCTTCATTCCATTTTACACGTCTTCTTGGCATGCACTACTACTTGGCGCAATGCTTTGATTTGGCATATTTTTATATGCTTATTTTCTGCATCCCTTTCTTTAATAAGAACTGACAGGGGCATACTAGAACGTGTCTGTGCTATCTTCCCAGTGTCTAGAACACAGCCAGCAACACTGCAGGTGCTCAATTAGTAGCTGAATGAATGAACTCTCCTTGTGCACATTAAAGGCCATTCTTAGCTGGGCATGGTTGGCTCACACCAACTACTCAGGAGGCTGAGATCTAAGGATTACAGTTCAAAGCCAGCCCAGGCAGGCAAATCTGTGGGAATCTTATCTCCAATTAAGCACCAAAAAGCCAGAAGTAGAGGTGTGCCTCAAGTGATAAAGTGCCAGCTTGAGCAAAAAAAAAAAAAAAAAAAAAGCTAAGGGATAGCACCCAGGTCCTGAGTTCAAACACCAGTACACACACACACACTATTCATTGCCCAGCTGGAAGTTCTAGACGTTTCCTTTGCTTCTCTCCTCTCATTATAGCGTGGAGCCCCTTCTCTGACGCTCAGCTTCTAGATAGCTTTTATAACCTACCCTTCTCCCCCTGTTTCGGTGGGAGGTTGCTGCAATGATGACTCTACAGGACTAGGCTGAGGGAAGAATCAGGGCTTCTAACTTTGAGGCCCCTGGTCTGCATTATTTGCTACTGCAGAAACCCATTGTTACCCCTCTCCTTTCTCCTCAGTCTCCACACACTCATTCCTGATTCTATATCATCCATGGCCTTTTAACTACACAGGCAGTTAAGGAGTCCAAATGGATGTTGAGAAAGGGTGCAGGTTTAGGGTTTTGTCCTCGGGGCTCCGTGCTGGCCACTCCGAGCTCCACAACCTCTGGTCTCCAATTCCTGTCTCCAAGCCAAGCCTATAGCAGCTGCCCCAGGGATCTTGTTAAAATGAAAACCTGTGCATGTCACTTCCCTGCTTAGAAGCCATCAATGAACGCGCCGTGTTGGCAAGGGGCGGGGAGCGGGGTGAGAGGGGGGAGCAAACACTCACCCGAAGCTCACAGGGGTGGAATCCGGTACCTTTCAGCATCGTCTATCCAGACTCCAAAAGCACAAGCTCTGTGACCCAGCATTTCCATTCTTGAAAATTACCCCGCAGACTTCCACTAGCACAAAATGATGTATGCACGAGGCTATTCACTGTAGCGTGGTTCATTTTAGCACAAAGATTGGAACCAGCCTAAGTGTCCATCAGTAGGGGACTGGTGAAATACATTTTAGTGTATCCATAACAGGTATTAAGTAAAAGGATGAGAAAAGTCTTGCTGAATTGATACAGAATAATCTTCCAGATGTATTGTTAAGGAAAGGGGTGGGGGAAAAGCCAGGTATGTATATAGTGTGTGTTTATAGCTACCATTTCTGTGAAAAAAATAAAATACATGTGCCTGATTTTCTTGTACATGCAGAGAACTGCTCTGGAAAGATCCACAGGGAAATTAACGTTGGTTGCCGTGGGGACACAGCCTGGGTGGCTTGCAGACTGGATGGTGGGGTGGGGGATGAAGGGGAGAGGGGAAAAATAACTACTAATACTCTAATGCTAATATTCTAACACTAATACACTAATACTCATTTGAACTTTTTTGAATTTGGAACCTTGGAATGTACTATTCCTTAAAAAGAAAAAAGGAATGACTACATATTTTTTTCAAACAAATAAGTTCCCAGGACCTCACAGGATGCATGCACACCAGGGGGCATCTCTGGGGCTACACTACTCCTGGGGTTGTGTGTGTGTGTGTGTGTGTGTGTGTGGTGGGGGGATGCTTTCTCTTAACATTTCTTTCATGTTTGAATGTTTTCTAAAATGTATTATTTTTTGCAAGGAGGTGAAATGAATGAAAAAGTCATGTGCAAGAGAACACACTTATAATTGCAGATAGACGGACAGCCTCCCACTTCCTTCCCAAAGAAAACAAACACACAAACCCAGCCCATCCACACTCTTCTCCCTCACCCTTGGGCTAAACCCTGACCTCCCGGCATGTCCATGCCAGCCCAGCCTGGCCCTGCTGGCCCCCCGTCATCTTCCATGCACCCACTTCCCTTCATGCTGCAGGCATTTCTCTACCCTCAGGCCGTTTCAGCCTGAGCCGTGCCCTCTGATGGGGATGCCTGTCTCTGAAATCCCTGTCTGGCCAACACTGGTGGGCTGAGGTTTGAACTCAAGCCCCTTTGCACTTACTAGTTCAGTGCTCTGCCACATGATCTACATCCCTAGCTCTTGATTTTTCTTTTTAGTTGTTGGTCATGGGGCTTGAACTCAGGGCCTGGGCACTGTCCTTCAGCTCTTTTGCTCAAGGATAGCACTCTATCGCTTTGAGTCACAGTGTCACATCCGGTTTTCTGGTGGATAGTTGGCGGTGTGAGTCTCATGGACGAAATTTCCTGCCCGGGCTGGCTTTGAACCACAATCCTCAGCTCTCAGTCTCCTGAGTAGTTAGGATGACAGGTGTGAGCCACCAGCGCCTGGCTACCAGCTTATTCTTTACAGATGCCTGCTGAGGCCTCCAGAAAGAAAGCATTACATCCTAATTACCCAGGTGAATGCCTGCCCTGGTTCCCATGGTCCTGTGAGCTTCATGACGGCATTTAAAAAATAATAATAATGTTCTGTGGTGTCTGGTGTCTCCTCTTCATCCTGTCTCTGCAGCAATGAGAGCCAGCTGGAGCCAGTAGCGCGCTCAGCTGTGTGACCCCCAATGAGTCACCCCATCTCTCTGAGCTTCCGTCTCTTCATTCTACGTTCTGGCGCTCTCCCAAGGGGCTCCTCAGAGTAGGCAGGCTCTAACCTCAGAGTGAGTGAAGTGGGGTGGGTGAGGGCTGCGCCGCTGTTTGAGGGTGGTTATGTGTGTAGGTGTGGGGCTTAAGCAAAGAATGGTTCCTAAGTGTCCATTTTCTATCAGAGCCTTAAAAACATCCATGCAAGGACAGCTTTCTAACTTGCTGGAAAGGTGCACACCCCAAACTGAAACTCTTGACCCACAAGCATGGCAGGCCTGCCTAAGTTGAGTGCCAAGGACAAAGGAGTTATTAGTTCAGAGTTCTGAGGACCTTACAGAGCTGCTGCCTTCTGCCTCCTTTGGCTTTCTGCTGGTCTTACAGGGGCACCTTTACATCTCTTTTGGTTGTTGTTGTTGTTGATTGTGCGGCTTGAACTCGGAGCCTGGGCTCTGTCCCTGAGCTCTTTTGCTCAAGGTTGGCACTCTACCACTTTGTGTCACAGCCCCACTTCTGGTTTTCTGGTGGTTTATTGGAGGTAAGAGTCTCACAAGACTTTCCTGCCCGGGCTGGCTTCGAACCGTGGTCCTCAGATCTCAGCCTCCTGAGTAGCTAGGATTACAGGTGTGAGCCATCGGTACCCAGCTCATTTATTTCTTTATTTTCCCTTCTTCAGTCTTCCCTCTTCCTGCCCGCCCCCCACTCCCTCCCCGCGACCCTAGGGTCTCCTGGAGCCCAAGATGACTGCTTGGCGCTAGACCTCGTGTGGCCCCGCCCACTCCGAGGGTCCCGCCACGTCATTGGCTCAGCCAATGGAGCATCACCCGAGGCCCCGCCCCGGGCCCCGCCCCTCACCGGTCTTGGGGTCCACGGTGAAGTGGTGCTCGCCGTCCAGCACGCTGTACACCAGGCGGGCGCTGCTGCCGTAGGTGGGGTCGTCCGCATCCGAGGCTATCACCTGCATCACTGACGTGCCTGGGCCCGGGGGACCAAGCGGGACAGTGGTCATCTGGAGCTCGGAGCTCCGTCCTCCGCACCCGGGGGAAACCTGGACCCGGGACGGTGGAGGCCCCGCGGCTCCACGCCCCCCCCCCCCCCCCCCCCCGGCCCCAGCCTGTTTCCTGACCCGGCCCCTGCGAGGACTCGGGTGCACATCTCTCGCGGGGCTTCCCGGCTGTGGGGCTCTCTGGCAAGGAAAGGCAGTGGCTCTGCACCTTGCTTTCCTCTTCTGTCCGATGGGGATGGTTCTAGTCCTCGGTCAGCGGAGTGAGGGACATGAGCAGAGGGGGGGATGGCAGCCATCCCGAGCAAGTTCAGGTCAGAGTGAGTGGCCTGGCTGGAAAGCCCACAGGACCCTCCCCGCTCCAGCCCCTCTGTGGCAGAAGGGACAGCTAGAGGGCCGCGTCCATCCCGGCTCAGGGTGGAGGCAGTGCCCGGCTTTGCCTCTGAAAAGTAGTTGGCTGTGGGCCCGGGTTCCTGCTCACCCCTCCTCCTGGTGCCCAGACAGCCCCCCTCTGGGCACGCGCACGCACGGGCATACACACACACACACACACACACACACACACTTCTCATGCACTGCACGTAGGCTGCCGGGGAGAGTATAAATTGGATAAAAGTCCATCAAACAGCGGCAATTAAGTTATTGATTTTCGACGCTGCCTCATTAAACCGGGAGCTTCTCTCGGCCTGTCCCAGAGATGGCTCTAATTTGACATCATGTTCAATTTGACGAAAGCAGGGCTTGGGACGTGAGGCTGGCCTGAGTGGGGGAGGGATCTGGTGGAGGGGCCGGCAGAGCCTTATGGGCCACCCAAATCTTTCCAGACAGAAAAGGGAGGTGGACGATCCAGAGAGCTCAGGGTATGACCCAAAGGAGGAGAGGGAGACCCTTGCTTCCGGGAGGTGCCCTCTGCTGGGTGCCCTCCCAGGGCTGGGCTGGAATTGTCGGGGCTCACAGAACAGCTTGCTGGGAGGTGAGGCCAGTTCACTGCGTGGCTAATGAGTGAGTGTGGAAGTGCTACTGCAGCAGTTCTGCTAAGCCCAGCCCACCGCCCGCCTCTCCCGCCTCCAGCCTGGGGCTCTCCATCATTCCAGACAGACACATGTATTTATTTTTTCACTCCTTTGCATTCCTCATTTTCCTCTCTGGGTCCCCCTCCCAGCCGGAACCTCCTAGGCTGGCCCTGCAATGCGCCTCTCTGGCAGCTCCAGCTCCTCGGCTGGAGTCAGAAGCTAGAAGAGGGGGAGCAGGCCCCCTCCCCCGTGTTGCTGGCACCCAGGGACTTCTGCTCAGGGCCCAGGGAACAGCCCCAGCTGCCCCCACGGCTGCACAAAGAAGGGAAAGGCAGGAACTTTGTTGAGCTTCCACTGTGTATGGGAGTCACTGGCTCTTAAATCCATCCATTCAAGGCAGGCTCCAGTCACAGTTGTAATTCTAGCTACCCAGGAGGCTGAGATCTGAGGATCATAGTTTGAAGAAAACCTGGGTAGTGACGTTCATGAGTCTCTTATCTCCAATTAACCACCAGAAAGCTGGAAGTGGCAAGTGAGAGCACTAGCCTTGAGCAAAAAAAAAAAAAAGGCTAAGGGATAGTGGCTGACACATACACACACAGACACAGACACACACAGACACACAGACACACACACAGACACACACAGACACACACACACACACACACACACACACACACACACACACAATCCTCTCTACTCCAGAAACATCTCAGGAATGCCAAGTGGCTTCTCTAATATTCCAGATGAGGGAGAGACTTAGCTGAGGACATGGCAGGATTTGAACCCAGGTCTGCAATGCCAATGCTGACAAAGCGCTTTGGGGGTTCCACTGTCCACACAGGCAACAGCCACTTTGAAGGTGGCCTGGTGTAGGGAGTCACAAGCACTGTGGCTTATTAGAGACTTGACCTTGGGCACATCACAGAGCCCCTCTGTGCCTCGGCCTCTTCATTTGAGAAATGAAGGTGACAGTGCTACCGAGATCCTGAGATGGCCTGGAGAATTCAAATAGATTTCTGCATTCAGCACCAAGGACAGCGCCTGGCCCTCTCTAAGAACCCAATAAGCGCAGGTGGCTGTTGTCTCCGGTGGCAGCGCGTGCTTGTCTGTCACGGCACGGCAAGGCACGGTGTCTCGCTCACAGGGCTTGGCGAGAGAAACTACACAAGGCGTCAGGCTCACAATGGCACCGAGAATAAACGGCGACAGTTGTAACTGCGATGAGGAAGCCAGTGTCTCCCCCTTGCTGATTTCCTCCCTCCCTCCCCTGCATTTGCAAGTCACAGTGCTGGGCTGAGTGACTCCCTTGGGACATGGCTAAGCCCCAACCACCCCCCTCCTCTCTCCCTGGCTGCATCCCAGGGACTCCCTCAGGGATGCTGGAGTCATCTCCCCAATCCGGGATTCTTTATTGCAGCCATTACAGTTAATGCCCACACGTGGGGCCGGCATAGGGTTGTAGGGTGGCCCTGCCACACACCCCTCCCATCTGCTCCAGCCACAGCAGCTCCCCAGAACCGGAAGACAAAGGGGTGTCAGGTTTGTGGTGGTTCTAAGGCCACCTTTCAGGTCAGCTTTGGGAGGTTTAGCAGTTGACAAAGTTACAATGTGCTATATCTCCCATGCCCATTTGGACCGCACAGTAACTCTGACACATTGGGGGGTGTCACACTTTACAGTGTTGGTGTAAACACCCTCATGATGGTCCAATTTCAAGCCACCGATGTGCTACTGGCTGGCCCACAAGACTTTCAAAATCAATATGTGACTCTTGCAAGCTGAAAGCCATGACTATATATTACTGTCCAATAATAATGATAAGCACAGATTATACTTATCGAATAACTACTTTGTGCTAGACACAATGATGTAAGCCCTTTACATGTATTATCTTGTGGAATTTACCCAAGAAAGGCTTGCAATAAGCCCTAATAAGATTTCTACTTAACGGCTGGGCACAGTGGCTCATGTCTATAATCCCAGCTACTTGAGAGGCAGAAGCCCACAGGATTGAGGCCAGCCTAGGCTAAAGGTTATCAAGACCCCATGTCAGTCCACAGTTGGATGTGGTGGCCCATGTCTGGCATCTCAGCAATTTGGGAAGCACAAATATAGCCGAATCAAATTCAGGCCAGGCTGATAAATCTGAGGCTCCATCCAAAACAATTACTAACGCAAAAAGGACTGGGGATGTGGCTCCAGTGGGAGAGCACCAATCTAGTAAGTACAAGGCCTCGGAGTTCAAACACCAGTACCATCACACAGAGCTGGGTCAAATAGTGAACACCTTTGCGCCTCACTTCCCTCTTGGGAACCTGTGAGAACTCAAATTATAGATGGCCGAGTTCAGCACCAAGGGCAGAGCCTTGGCTAAGTGCCCAGGTTCAAAGCCAGACTTGCCACAGTCGCGCTGTAAGAAGTAGGGTTCTCTGTGCTTCCGTGCAGCACTTCTGCAGTCCAGACCGGCGTGGGCAGTGCTGGTTCCCTCACTCTGAGGGAACACTCCTGGGGCCCCAGGGCCTCCCTGGGGGAGGTTACATTTGCAAAGGCTGCTCCTGGGAGAGCAGGAAAACCAGTGCTGCTCCACCTGGTCCTGTGGCATGGGTCTCCTGGGAGCTTTAAAATGAAACAGCTGCTGAGCCCCGTCCCAGGCCAATTAAACAGGACTCATGGGATGGAGCCCAGGCAAGGGAGCTTATTTAAGCTCTAGTGAGTCTGGCACATCTTCAGGGCTAGGAACACATGCCTGGCCCTGGCCCCCTGGGAAATGGACGAGGAAACTGAGTTGTGGGGCAGGGTGGGGGTGGGGGGTGCTCAAGGACTTTCCAAAGTCATATCATCAGGAAAAAGTAGGGAAAGATTCTGACCTGAGGTCACACCAGGAGACAGTAAGTACACCGCATGCCACTGGACTCCAGAGCTCCTTCCAGCAGTCTCCTGAGAGGAGATGTCCCTCCCCTTCCAAGGTGGGCTTTAAGATCCTAGTCCTAAAGCCAGCTGCAATCCCAGCTACGCAGGAGGCACAAAGAGGAGGACTGTGATCTGAAGCCCAGTCTAGGCAAAAACTTGAGACTCCATCTAAAAATAACTGAAATAAAAGGGTGGGGGATGGCTCAAATGGCAGAGCATCTGTCTAGCAAGCTTAGGACCCTCAGTTCCAACATCACTGACTGTACTACAAAAAGGAAAAGGAAAAAGTCCTACCACATCCATCCTCACCCTGTACCATCAGTGAAGTCTTCCCACCTGTCTGGCCTTCAGGAAGGAGTATTTGAGTGGCCCACTATGAGTCTCTGAGACACTATGAAGATTACCCAGTTTAAGAGGCAGTTGATGGCTGGAGGCATGGTTCAAGTGGTAGAGCGCCTGTCTAGTAAGTGCGAAAATTGGAATTCAACTCTAGTCCCACCAAAACCAAGAGCAAGTCCTGGGCCCTTGGGTGTGTGGTGGATATACAAGGGGGTTTACTGCTTCCCTTCTCTGTATACTCAGGAGGCTCTTGGGGTGCATCCTTGGCCTGCATTCCCCTGGGCACCAGCAGCAGAGGCAGCGGCTCCTCTACTCCCCTCATCTCCCGTGGAGCTGCCCAGCTCTGACACACCTTAACCTGGAGCAGAACTGGACCCGGTGTCCTGGCTTGTCTCCAAACACGAGTTCTTTGCCAGGTACACCTGAGGCCACAGGTGGGTCCGCCTTCAGCATGGGCGGAGCTCCATGATGATGATGATGATGATGATGACGACGATGATGGTGGTGATAGTGACAGACTCTCATTCTAGCCTGTGCTGGCTGCAGGAACACCCCCAGCAGATGGGGTTTGGTCTATTCTTCTGGTAAACGGAGATAACGCTTTATCTCCTCTGCTCCCCAAGATGTGGAAGACCCCCGAATGAGAGGAAAGGGATGAAACCCATCGGAAAGAACACAGCCTTCCTCCGAGGTGATCAAGGGTCCTT